AGAGCAATTTCGGAAGCTGGGACTTTCTCTGCGTTTGCTTCTAACTAGTTTGTCTGAAGTCCAATAAAAGCACTTTCTTTTGTTAAGGGTAGCTGCAAAGTGTCGTTGGTTCATTTAATAAGATATTTTCTGTTGATATAAAGATGTTGGTTCTCTTACTTATGTTCTTTTTTGCATCCGCTGTTTTTTTTTTAAAAGCTCGTTATTTTTTCCTAAAAGCTGATGCTTTGATTTGGTTGTTCGATTTTATTTTTAAAAGTTTCCTCCCGTAAGATGAGAGTAAATTCTTGAGAGTAAATTCGGAAACTGAGATTTTCTCTGCGTTTTCATCTTCTGTCTGAATTCCTATAAAAGCTTTTTTTATTGAGGGTAGCTGCACAGTGTAGCTGATTCATGTATTCAGGTTATTTGTTTTGATTAAGTGATGATCCTTCTTTTTTTCATCAGAACACAAGTCTGATGCTTTGTTTTGATATAACGATGCTGTTTTTTTTCGGTCGGTTTTGTCTAATTTGAAATAGCTGTTTTTTAAAGACTAGAACGCCCTATTTTCATAAAAGCTGTTGCTTTCAATTCGTACTCTCTTTTTGTTTCTTTTAGTAGTTTTTCGTTTGCTTTGACCAAAATGCATGACCCAAATCAGTGTGATTCATGAAAAAAATTCAGAAGCTGAACTCTTCTTTGCTTGCGCTTATGTTTGTTTTGTCTGAATACCATTAATAGCCAATTCTCTTCTCAAGATAAGCCTAAAAGTGTAGTTGATTCCTACAATTTGATGCTTTTTTATTGTCTTCCTGGTTTTTTTGTTTTAGATTAGAAAAAATTGCTGTTTTGTTCGGATACTATAAAGCGTTACTTTTTCTTGAAGGCGGATGCTTTGTTTGGTAGTGTTTTTTTGCTTTTTTTCGTTATCTCGTTATACCTTTTATTACGCATAATCAGAAAACTTAGGCTGACTCGTGAGAGTAACTTTGGAAGCTGAAACTGTCTTTTTTGTGCTCTTCTTTTACTGTCTATTTTTTTTAATGATAGCTGCTCCTCTTCTTTAGGTTAGCCAGGAAGTGTGTTTGACTCATGTTATCAAATACTTTGTTTTATAGTGATACTGGTTCTTAGCTTTCTTCATTTAGGTTGAAGCATAAGTCGCAGTTTAATTTCAAGGACACTCAACTTTTCCATGAAAACTGATGCTTTGATTTGGTAGTGTGAGTTTGTTTCTTTCAGTTATTTCTTTCTCGTCCCGGACGAAGACCAGATCAGATTGATTCGTGAGAGTAAATTTGGAAGCTGAGACTTTCTCTGCGTTTGCTTCTTTATAATTTGTCTGAAGTCCAATAAAAGCTATTTCTTTTGTTTGGTTAGGGTAGCTGCAAAGTGTAGTTGCTTCATGTAATACGATAATTTGTTTTGATATAGTGATGTTGGCTCTCTTGCTTATGTTCTTTTTTCTGCAGTTTTTTTGAAGAACGTTACTTTCTCTTGAAAGCTGATGCTTTGACTTGGTTGTTCGATTTTCTTTCTTTTGGTTTTTGTCACCTCCCGTATGATGACCAGATCATATTGATTCATGAGAGTAAATCCGGATTTTGGGAGTTTCTCTGCGTTTCTTGTTTACAGTTTTTCTGAAGTCCAGCAAAAGCTTTTTTTTTTATTGAGCATAGCTGCAAAGTGTAGTTGATTCATCTAATACGATAATATTTTTTGATACAGTGATGTTGGCTCTCTTGCTTATGTTCTTTTTTCTGCAGTGTTTTTGAAGAACGTTACTTTCACTTGAAAGCTGATGCTTTGACTTGGTTGTTCGATTTTCTTTCTTTTGGTTTTTCTCACCTCCCGTATGATGACCAGATCAGATTGATTCATGAGAGTAAATCCGGATTTTGAGAGTTTCTCTGAGTTTCTTGTTTATAGTTTTTCTGAAGTCCAGCAAAAGCTTTTTTTTTATTGAGCATAGCTGCAAAGTGTAGTTGATTCATCTCATACGATAATATGTTTTGATACAGTGATGTTGGCTCTCTTGCTTATGTTTTTTTCTGCTGTTTTATTGAAGCACTTTTCTTTCTCTTGAAAGCTGATGCTTTGACTTGATTGTTCGATTTCCTTTCTTTCGGTTTTTCTCACCTCCCGTATGATGACCAGATCAGATTGATTCATGAGAGTAAATTCGGAAGCTGAGATTTTCTCTGCGTTTTATTTATGTTTTATCTGAAGTCCAATAAGAGCTATTTCTTTTTGACAAGAGCTGCAAAGTACAGTTAATTCATGTAATCAGGTAATTTGTTTTGGTATATAGATGCTCCTTCGTTAATTTTTTTCATTTTTCATCTGAACACTAGTCTGATGCTTTTTTTGTTGACATAACGATGCTGTTTTATTCGGTCGTTTTTGTCTAATTTAAATGGCTATTTTTTTACAGACTTGAATGCCCTAATTTTCATGAAAGCTGGCGCTTTGAATGGTAACTGTGATTGGTTTCAATTAGTAGTTTTTCATTTGCTTCGAGCTAGCATGATGACGAAATTCACTGTGAATCATGAGAGCAACTTTGTTAGCTAAAATTTTTTCTGCTTAATATCAGTTTGTTTGGTCTAGTTTTTCATTTGCTTTGATCTAGCATGATGACAAAAATCAGTGTGATTCATAAGAGTAAGTTCGGAAGCTGAAACTTTCTCTGCTTAATTTTAGTTTGTTTAGTCTGAAGTCCAATAATAGCCATTTTTAGATCAAGACAAACCAGAAAGCATGATTGATTCCTTCAATTTGATGCTTTTTTGTGTTCCTGGTTTTTTGTTTTGTACTAGAAAAAACTGCTGTTTAGTTGGGAGGACCAGAAAACGTTGCTTTTCAAGAAAGCTGATGCTTTGATTTGGCAGTGTGAGCTTGTTTTTTTTTGGTTTTATCGTTTTGCTTTTGTTACATGATTACAAAACTCAGTCTGATTCAAGACAGAACTTGCAAGCAAAAACTGTCGTTTGTGCTTTTTTTATTACTCTCCAACTTTTAATGATAGCTGTTGCTTTTGTGTAGGTTAGCCAAAAAATGTAATTGAACCAACTAATTAGATGCTTAGTTTTATTTTGATACCAGTTCTTAGTTTTGTTCTCTCAAGTGGAAACATAAATCGCAGTTTTCTTTTTAGGACACGTTTCTTTTTCATGAAAATTGATGCTGTGATTTGGATGTGTGACATTGTTTCTTTCCGATATTTTTTCTCTCCTCCCGCATGAAGACCAGATGAGATTGATTCGTGAGCGTAAATTCGGAAGCTGAGGTTTTCTCTGCGTTCTGTTACTTATGTTTTCTCTGAAGTCCAATAAGTGCTTTTTTTATTGAGGGTAGCTGCAAAATGTAGTTGATTCATGTATTCAGGTAATTTGTTTTGATTCAGTGATACTCCTTTTTTTATCAGAACAAAAGTCTGATGCTTTGTTTTGATATAAGGATGCTGTTATTTTTTCGTCGATTTTGTCAAATTTCAAATAGCTGTTTTTTTTAAAACTAGACTGCCCTAATTTTCATGAAAGCTGGTGCTTTGAATGGTAACTGTGATTGGTTTCTTTTTGTAGTTTTTCATTTGCTTTGATCTAGCATGATGACCAAAATCAATTTGATTCATGAGAGTAAATTCGGAAGCTGAAACTTTCTCTGCCTAATTTAGTTCGTTTGGTCTGAAGTCCAATAATAGCCATTTTTTTTCTGTCAAGACTAGCCAGAAAGGATGATAGCTTCCTTAATTTTGATGTTTTTTTTCGTTCCTGGTTTTTTGTTTTGTTAGAAAATATTGCTGTTTAGTTGGGAGGACTAGAAAACCTCTTTTTGCTTTTGTTACGCATGATTACAAAACTCAGTCTGATTCGATCTCAGTTTTATTTCTAGGACAAGTTACTTTTTCATGAAAATTGATGCTTTGATTTGGATGTCTGAGATTGTTTCTTTCAGATATTTTTTCTCTCTCCTCCCGCATGAAGACCGGATCAGATTGATTCGTGAGCGTAAATTCGGAAGCTGAGGTTTTCTCTGCGTTTTGTTATTTATGTTTTCTCTGAAGTCCAATAAAAGCTTTTTTATTGAGGGTAGCTGCAAAGTATAGTTGATTCATGTGTTCAGGTAATTTGTTTTGGTTCAGTCATGCTCCCTTTTTTTATCAGAACAAAATTCTGATGCTTTATTTTGATATAACGATGCTGTTTTTTTCGTCGGTTTTGTCAAATTTCAAATAGCTGTTTTTTTAAAACTAGACTCCCCTAATTTTCATGAAAGCTGGTGCTTTGAATGGTAACTGTGATTGGTTTCTTTTAGTAGTTTTTCATTTGCTTTGATCTAGCATGATGACCAAAATCAATCTGATTCATGAGAGTAAATTCGGAAGCTGAAACTTTCTCTGCTTACACTTGTTTGTTTTGTCTGAATCCCAATAATAGCCATTTTTTTTGGTCAAGACTAGCCAGAAAGCATGATTGATTCCTTCAATTTGATGTTTTTTTTTCGTTCCTGGTTTTTTGTTTTGCGCTAGAAAAAATTGCTGTTTTGTTTGGAGGACTAGAAAACGCTGCTTTTCCAAGAAAGCTGATGCTTTGATTTGGCAGTGTGATTTTGTTTCTTTCGGTTATATCGTTTTTGCTTTTGTTACGCGAGGGATTGGGAAGCGGAAAGTCGTTTATTGTGCCTTTTTTTATTTGTCTGATTTTTATTGATAGCTGTTCCGCTTGCTTAGGTTATAATTGGCGTGCGTCTCTTAAAAAGTTCTGTAGACTCACAGCTTTACTCATTTAGTTTTTCCCAGTAGCGTTATCGGTCAAATTTTTGCTTGTGTATGCGAAGTGCAACTTCGCTTCTGTGTAATTTATTGTTATCTTAGCAAATTTTTAAAATGCCTTTTGAAAATGCTTCAAAATTATTTATTTTTCATTGAAAATCCTCTTAAATCCGTTTTTTTAGCTCATTGAAACTATCGCAGCTGCGTGTTGGTTATGTTTTAAAAAAAATTTAATTTCAGATTTGTAATTTTATAGTGTTAGCATCTGGAGGGTTTATCATTCACAATGGATGCTCTGAAAAAAGACATCAGTTCCGTCCTTCTTCCTACCAAAGAGGGCGTTCAGTCCAAGCACTTCCAATCAGAGTTCGCTGAATTGATTGGAGCCCCGATCGATCCGAAGAAGTACGGTTTCAATTCAGTGCATGAGTTAATTCGTAGCATGCCAGATAAAGTGCAGGTGACCAACCTTGGTCCGGGGCTTTATCTCTACAAAGCGAAGGTGGATTCAACCACGGCAGGATTGTCTCAGTTGATTGATAGGCAAAAGGCGAAAAAGAAGAGAAGTCAAGGAGGAAGAGGAAGAGGTGGCAGGCCCGGTGGATCTGGAGGAGGGGGACGAAATGCAAGGTTTGGCAATCGTAGTAGTGGAGCTCCTAATGTGCAGCGAGTCACAAATAGAGCACGAGGACCACCCGTAAACGTTTCGCCGAGAGATCAAGCAGCAAATATGAACCGGTATTGTGCATTCTCGTATCAGCGCAATGATTTGAATGCTCCGATCGTCCGTTAGGGTGTTTCGTTATTGTTTGAAAAAATTTTCTTTTTGAATATTTCAAATTTGAGCTCAGGGAATCGCCATCTTTCAGTTATCTGAGGTAATCGCTGTCTGTATTAATTTTTCGCGTCAAAAACTTTATTAAAAGGTGGATATTGGTCTTGATTAATAAACTACCCATCATAAATATTTTGTCACTACCTCCGGAAGTAGGGAAAACACGTATTATTACATGGCATAGTACAGAGTGCCATATTCTTGCTGAACTTTGAAAAAAAAAAACATCTTTTCCCCCAAATTCGAATCTTTATTTTGTGCTTTGAGATGAGAGGGGAAAATAAATCTTTGAATGTTAGTAAAATACATAATCTACTACAGTTGTCTTCAAAAACTGAATAACGAAACGAAAAACTCAAAAATTCTGAAATTTCTATTTTGTTAGCAGATTTGTTAGGAAGCGCAAAATTTTTTTTTTGACAGCGGAGCGCTAATTGAAGCTTCTAGAGCTAGTTAACTTGAGTAAAATTTGAATTGAACGGCCTAAATAATATTGAGTTTCTCAAAATTAGGCTCAAAAGCAAGAATTTCAAAATGGAGTTTTGTTCAAAGTATTCAGAATAATGCGACCGAGTAACATTCGTTATTAGAAATTTGGTCATTTAGGCAAAAAAAGCGTGATTTTACAGAAATTAAAACTAGTTTCAAGAGCTTCATTAAGCGCTTTCCTGGCAAAAAAAATGAAAAAAATTCTGCAAAAATTTTTTGTTTCTTATTCTTTTTTGAATACAACTGTTGTGCATTATGCCTAATTGACTTATTTTTTACGCTTTTGTATAGTTTTCTCATCACACCGTGCGCAAAAACGATGATAATTTGAAGAAAATGAAAAAAAAAATGTAGTTTGTAGGAATGTGGTAGGAACTATCCTTGTTTACACAAGCAATGCTTGTGTTGTAGTATGAACTATCCTTTTTTTCAACCTAAGTCGCAAATATTGTTGCGATAAGTTGTGTTCATATTGAAAATGTTCAATTTGATCATTAACAAACTATTAAGTACAGCCAATGCTAAGGATTTGCGTAGTTATTGTTCCGACTTTCGTAACGAAAGTAACGGAATATTTGTGATCGGGGTGGGTTTTTTTTCAGACAAATTACGACTTTTTAACTAGCCACTTATAACGGATTTTTTTTATAAATCAAAAAATATTGTTGTGCTGAGCTTGAATTTGAACAGATATTTCACCTGTGATCATTTTTTGTAAAGATATGGGGGTTTAAAGATTGCCATTTTGGTCAATTTGGGACAATAAACGCGCGATATATTTCGCGCTATTAACGCGTAAGCGGAGATTAGGTCCGTCTTAGAAATCGTTCCAAATTGGTGGAAGGAAGTTTATTTGCCACCAATTTGGATTTGTAATTGATTTGTTAGTAGGAGCAAAATTTATCACTTTGTATTTTATATGACGTGTGGGGGAATGATTTTCACAGAAATTTTTTTTTTTTAAATTACATTTAATTTTTTCATGTTATTACTAATCCATAGCACTATAAATTGAGGCATGATAGTTGACAATTTTTTTTTCAAACTGACTGGTACTGCTAATGCGTCATAATTGACTAGACTCAAAGTTTTTACTCGTGCAGTTTTTCCCAGTAGCGTTATCGGTCATATTTTTGCTTGTGTATGCGAAGTGCAACTTCGTCTCTATTAAACTTTGAACTCAAAGAAGTCATATGACTTTAGAACTCATATGGCTTTAGAATCATAATTTCGTTTTCTCCAAATTTGAACGCTTTGCTGTCAATATTTATAATAATCTTCATGTGTATTGGAAGTAACGTTTTTCAGAAAAGTTTTTTTTTGCGTAAATTTTGTTTGTTTCTCATTTTTGGCGTATTTTCTTGAAAAGTATGTTGAAAGCATTAAAACAGTGTTTGAACATACTTAAATTGATGGGAATATTTTATTTCCTCTTGAACCAAAAAAAAAGAAGGGCTTGATTATGATACCTCACTCAACCATATACATCTGGTGTTTCTGATGACAGATCTTGCAGTGATTATGAAAAAGAACCTAATAATTAAAAAAACTCGGTGGTCAAAACTAAATCATACAATGAGCAAAGGAAAGGTAAGTAAACGGTGAGTTTTGGCTGCTTTTGTTTCTCTCTTAGCAGACTCTTTAACATGTTTCGTTTAGAGTGTATCTAAACTTGCTTCTGTAGTTAGTGTGGAATTCTCTTTTCTGTCTATTCCGGTTTTCTATGCCGAATTGTCTTCGCTTAATCTCCTTCATCTCACATAGGTTTGAGTAACTCGATTGATACTGATACTCTAAATATTTAGTATTTCAGCATGCGTGATAATCAAAGTGGTCATCAAAATAACAATCAGTTGCGAAGTAGCCCCGGTAGCTCCAGCTCTCGTCCTCAGTCCTCTCAGAAAAATATGAACCAAGATATTCAGAACAACAATTTAACCAACATTGAAAACAACTTCAAGAATAACAATAACATAGTCAGCATCAGCAGCCTTAGCTTGAATAACGACAACTTGAGAAACAGTTTCAAGGGTACTGGCTACAGCAATGAGAGAGCTCCCATGAATCAAAGATTGGGACCATTGAAGGGCCCTGACATTTCACAGCCTTATCATGAATCGACTCGGCGTTTCAAACCAAACTCAGATTCATCAGGAATTCGAGATCTGTTTGCGACAGAAATCAGCGCGGAGTCAGTGACCATGATGGAAGCCCCCAGATTTGATGGAAAAAACTACGGGTCTTTTTATTTATTTACAAGTTTACTTATCAGCTCATCATTATTAATTCAGTGCAGTGTTCAAACTATCTTTTGGTGACATAATTTACCGTTTTGAGTGATCATATATTTTGCAAATTTGCATGGTGAAAAAGTAAAAAGACCTGAAACTACTCTAGTCATTCAAGTTATGGCCAATCGAGTGCGTCACAGCAGCAGCAGCAGGGCAGACGAGTCTCTTCAACGCAGTCCAACGCAGCGGAAAATGGCATTGCTAACACAGCTGATTTTGAAAATGCGCAGCAATTGTCCAAGAAATCCAGGCGGGTCTCGAAATTGGCTGGACGCAAAAAAAATCCTGTCGGATCCAGTACTTCTCAAAATTGGGAAGAAGATGATGAAGAAGAAAAGTTAATTCGAGAGAGAAGCGCTTCTTGTTTAGCTCCGACTGAAAAAATCCCGACTAACATTTGCCTTATGGAATTGGCAAAGCAACCTGATTTGTCGGAAATATGCAGGAATTCTCCATTTGTGCTGTCTCATTCGGTATCTCCCGATGAGTTTTACTTGCAGTGTGCGGCAGAAAGAACAGAAGAGTCAATGGATTTGGTTTTCATTGACCAACTTTGCACAAAAATTATGGAAACAATTGGACCAGAGGTTAAAAAACTGTGTATTAACGTCGAGAATTGTTCGAAATTGCAGAACAATGAGTGTGTTATATTGAGTAGCCCAGCTTATGGTGTGTGGGTGCGAGCGCAGATTCAGCAGAAAAAACAGTTTTTGGTGGATTTTGGACGTTTTACTGAATCTTTTGAGCCCTGCTTCAGAATGCCCCAGAAGCTGTATGATATTCCGGCACAGGCATATCAATGTCGGTTATACGACTTGTATCCAATGCAGAGCTATTGGAGCAGTAAGTATTTATCAATATATTTGCAAGTTTTCATTTTATCGTTTTAAAAGGCGTTCAAAGCTCAATTGTGCTGCATGAAGGTTGATTTTCAATCATTTTGTCTTGAAATCGTATATTTTAATCAGTTAAACCAAATTCAGGTTTCCTGTGACAATTGCAACTGTTTTTTTTACAGCAGAAGCATGTGAGGCATTTGTGCAGGAAGCTGAACTCAATAGTTTAATAGTACAGGTCAAGCAATCACCTCAACTCACAAGTGCCTACAGCGTAGATATCTTTATCGATGGTGAAAACCTGGGGCAAATCCTCTGCTCTATCGGTTTGGCTCAACGCCAGCCGCTGGTGAGAAGAGTAAAGGCGACAAGTAAACACGAAAAGCTGCCGTTGCGATATATGAATAGAGTCCGTCTGATTTGCTTCGAAACACCATCAGTTGTTTACGTGACGTTGACTAGCCTGGAAGGTCAACTTGAATCGCTCAACGAGGAAATCCATGAGGTGGTGTCACAAGAGTACGATGGCAGGTAAGATAACGTTGTTTAAAGTTTGTACTTTCTGACTTCTCGATTTATTCGTATCTTGGCAACTGGAAATAGCGAGATTCAAGTAGCTTGTTTGAAAGCTGCATCTTTTCACAAAGTACAATTGATTTTATTTTCTTACTATTTTTTGTGAAATATGGCTGAAAATTGTGGGTCTCCTGGTGTTTGCATATGGTTTTTTGATAGTTGATGTTTATTGCAATGTCAGTTCAAGAAGTGCTGCTCAAGCGCAACAAGGCTAGTCGAGTGCTGTACAAGTAGCACAGATTGTTCCGACCACATTCATACCAAATTTTCCTTATTTTCAACAAGCAAATGAGAGGAGGCGTAACGCGTAATCTCCAGCTTAAAAGTTCGATTCCGGCACATAAACACTTTATTTTTCCAGGCTTATTTTATCCTTATTTCATTTTTTACCTAAGCAGTGCATATTGTGATACTATAAGGCAATTTTTTTCCCCAACAAAAGTCGAATTGACTATTTAATAGCACGTGCTACTACATTTGATGCATTTTTTGTTCATCGATTGAACAGGATAAGTCTATTTCTTTCATATAGCAGTACAATAATAATGACTCCATTTCGTAAGTTTTGCTACTCAGAAATGCAAAGTTATACGTGCATAATTTGAAATACAAGATGATATACATTTTTTTCATAGTTTTGCTGTCAACTGGGAGTTCTGAATATCCGCGGACATGTTCATTTCCCGTAAAGCTCATTATTTTTTCAAAACTTTTGTTTTTTATTTTACCCTTTCAAAGCTACTTTTGGACTTTTTCGCTTGTGTGCGAAGTGCAGCTACGCTTGTTCCTTTTTAGATCTACTTTTGCCGTTTTCTCGCTTGTGTTTGCGAAGCGAAGCTTCGCCTCTGCATTTGAAGTTGATAGCTTGTTTTTTTTTTCGTTTTGTTAGTAGATCATTTTTGGAAAACAGTTACTTGACATAGTATATTTTGAAGCCTGAGACTCAATCCAGTTGATAAAAAATTCTTTTTCGAACTTTTTTCCTCTCTAAAGCTGCTTTTCGTCACTTTTTGTTGGTCTTTACGAAGTGCAGCTTCGGTGTTCATTTTTTTCCTAAATTTTCCAATGATTGGGACAGAGTGGGCTTCGTCTGTGTTCATTTTGTTCTCTAAGTTTTCCAAATTTTGGGACAAGGGGGCTGAATTGGATAAAAAATTAACATATCGAAGTAAAAAAATAATTGAATGTAACGTAAAAATTGCATTAGTTCATCTCATCGCAGAAGGGATTAAAAACTTGTTCCAAATCTTTCATTTTTTGTGCCAGTTTTGTTTTCGGTTCAACAGGCGACTACGTAAATTTTTAAATGCTTGCTCAAAGGCTGTTGATTGTGTTTTCTCTAATTCAACATCATTCGAGTGTGAATTGTATGAAATTTAAGAATTTTTTCGGATTACTGGCTTTCTTTTCACAAGCTTCCAATCCTATCTTTATTGTGTATCACGAAAAGTTCAAAGCTCCGCTTCGCCTTTAAATGGCACATGCACTATCTTTCTGTTTAATGTTTCTGACTTATTTTCTGTGTTCACTTTGAAAGCGTTTAAGGTCCATTGTTCGAACTCCGAAGGTTGGAGAATATTATATCTGCCGCGATGCCGATTCCGAGTGCACACGAGTTAAAATTTTATCCATTGACTGTGAGTCTGTTCAAGTCAACTACGAGGACTTCGGCGAGGTCAATGTTCTTCCTGCGGACTCCAAGTTATACCCGATGAAGCCGAGCTTCTATGAACTGCCTTTCCAGGCAATTAAAGTTGTCTTGAGCGACTTTCAGAGCATAGGCGAGAATAAAAACGTTCTAGAACAGTTGGCTGAGAAGATGTTGCACAAGGAGTTCTACTTGGATGTGCTGGATGAAGTTGAACTGGACGATGAAACTTTGCTGGTTGAGATCATGAGTGTAGAAGGTAGTTCCAACGTCAGAAATTTCCCTCGCTCAATTTATGAAATATTTCATACCGATCCCATAATGTAACAAAGATGGCCGGTTACTGTGCAAATAGTACAGAATGTTCCGACCATAGTCTTAGATAATACAATATTTTTTTTAAATTGTCGTTTTTTGTGTGGTGTAATAGTAAAATCTGAACATAAAGAAGAAGTTACTTTAATTCGACAGTCATTGTCAAATAGGCCAATTGGAGAACATTTTCTGTAGAAAAAAGTTCTCCAATTCGACAAGACGCGTTTACTCTACGCTCGTGTAAAAAAAATAAATCGAACAAAATTTTTGTACACGAGCGTAGAGTAGTGTGATAGTACGATGCAAGTTTTTTTTCCAACCTAAGTCGCAAATAAAAATGCCAATTTCGGTGGCACTGTTGAAATGGTTGACTGTTTTAGCATCATATTGCCAGGTGCTTTGATTTTGATAAGTAATAGGCTAACACAGTTGATGTTTTTTCAATTCATCAATTGAACCGAAAAAGTTATTTGTTTAGTACAGCAGTTAAAATAGTTTTTCAAAAAATTAAAACTTGATTTACTTCGCGAGATTTTTGAAATGCATAATTTGTTCGCAATTTGGTTTATTATATCCTAATTTATTACCTGCAACGTTAGTGTGTTTGCTTATTACATTCCAATTTATTACTTGCAGAGTTGTGTGCATTTTAAAGCTCCTGAATTTTTGCCGCTTTCTCGCTCGTGTTTGCGAATCTGCAGCTTCGCCTCTGAGTAAAAATTGTCTATTTGTTGAATTTTGAAGTTTTTGATTTCCAAAATGGCGCTAAGAATTCCGAAAACTTATTTTAGTAAAAATTAAGTTTTCATGGCTTAAATTAAGCTTCAATAAGCTATTGGCAAACTATGTTTTTGAGAAACCTTTTCAGCTCGAAATTAGATCAAAAATCAAAAATTTCAATCCGTTTTTTTTTTCGACTGAAAGGGCGAATCACGACTGAACGGGCTTAAATATGATATATAACTCGACCCGTTCCGATGATTATCTGTGGCACCTGATTTTGCGCGGAAAACAAAAAGAAAGATAAAAGAAAAAAGCGCGCAAATGCCATGTTCCTTCGCATTGCTTAAGTGATTGGAACAACAAGTATCATTTTTTATCTATTTATCTCTACACTTGTGAAAGCAAGTGTCTTATAATCAGAAACTATACCCCCCGTAAACAATTTTTCTTTCACCTTTTCAAATTGGTTTATTATCAAACCTTCACAATTTCCTGGTTCCTTCTCTTTTAGCCTAAGGTTTGGGGTTCGAGTCTTGGTCGGACCTTGTGCTTTGTAAGCATGCAGTTGATTTTTTTTTTAAATTTTGATGAAAGTTTTTTTGAAAGAACTTTTTTCGTCTGCTCAAGTTTTTTCGGCTTAATTGCCACATCACACATCTTGTTTGTGCTTTCAGCAACTTTCATTGCAGTTGCAAGTGCATGCGTTGTTTTTGTAGTTTCAGGCAGGGGGACTTGAAACTTTGTTTTTTAGTCATTTTTTTCGGATCAACGTGTCTTGTCAAATATCTTTGGATTAGTTGCCACATCACGGATTTTTCTTGTGCTTTAAGCAAATTTTTATTGTAGTTGCAAACGCAAGTGTTGTTTATTGTGATTTCAGGTTGGACTTGAAATTTAAACGACTTTTTATGAAATCATATTTTGTTTCGGCTCAACTCGTGTCTGCTCAAAGATTGTCGGCTTTGTTTCCTCTTCGTAAGTTTTGCACTGCTGCTAATTTAACACTCAAATATCTGGCAAGTTTGCCAAGAATGAAGTTCAATCGAGACATACGAAAACTATTTTTTTGGTAGAACTAAATTTTTTTCAAAGTTTTTCTCTTTTTTTGGACTTTTATGTTTTTATGTTTTTGTTGTATCGCAAGTAATGCGAAGCTCCGCTTTGCCTCTGTGCTTAAAATTGTTGCTGATTGTTATACATCAAATTTGTTTTCGTGGGTTGGAATCAATTTTCTCTAGGTGATGTTGTTACTCCTTCGGACATACTAACCAGTGAATCATCGAGTATCAATTGCATCGCAGAGTCACTGTCATCGGCTGCAGTCAGTCCTGTTTATGGCCCCTACAGTAATTTTAATCTAGAACAACTCGAGGCACTGATCAATGACGATGATGAGCATCTCCATGATATCCGAAATTTTGTGTCGGTCCCCGAAAAAGAGAAGGTGTACATTGCCTTTCACCCGACAATGAAGAAATTCTGTAGAGCTAAAGTGGAACAGCAAATTGAAAACACATTTCTATTGACATTTTTTGATTACTCGGAGTCCTTTCATCGGGTTCTGACTAATTACATAATCGATGCGTCGAAGTATGAGCCTAAAATTAGCCAGGTTACATTGTATTGAAATGTATGCTGAAACTTATTTGAATTTGCTATTTATAAATTAAGTCAATGAAATCTATAATTTTTGATCTTGAGAATTATGTGTTGTCACGCGAAAAGTTGCTCGTTTAACATAGAAAAATTTTAAATGATGTTTGAGTTTGTTTTAGTAAAAGTGATTGTTTTCCCTGACGAATCAGGCTTCAGAGATACTGAAATAGTTCATTTAGGTTCTGAATAAAGGTTTGGGCGAGTTAGTCCACAGGTCTGCCACATCATCTGTTACAATTCTAGAGAGTTAGCAAAAATACAAAAATAAGTGCGTGAAGATGCAATGCGTGCTTAATTATTTCTGTTTAATGGTGTTCCGACTTTTGAGGAAAGTGACGCAATATATATGCTGGAGGTCTGAGTGGTTTTTATTCGAACCGATCTCGGTTTTATAAAGATGGCTAATGCCCTGAGCTCAAATCTCAAAAGTATCTTTCGCCTATGATAACTTCGATTGGAGTTATGGGAGTTTGAATAGCAAATACGGCGAATTAATCCAGCTCAGAAAATATTTCATATTGAGATGAAGCACGCTAATTGATAGAAATAAGGTGTTAATAGATGCGATTTGTATCACTTTATACTTTACATTGATTATGGGGGACGTTTTTTTTTCCAAAAATTCAATTTTGAAATTAAATTTACTTCGTGCACTCTCAAGGACAGTCGGAACATTCAGGCCTTTGCCTCCTGGATACTAGCCAGTTGATTTTTCCATAATTTCTTTTGTTTGGCATTTTGCTTTTGCTTGCCTTTTCTTATGGTGCTAAAGCTGTATTTGTTTGAATTTAATACTTTGCAATGAATGTTGCGGGTTTATTTTTGTTTCAAATTGTCAGAAACGAAGCATTTAAATGGTTTCCTGATTAATTTAATGGTTCCATTGTTTAACTTTGCCAATCTCAGCATTTTTCGGAACCAGTTTTATTTATTTGACTTCGAATAGCCACGTTTTCAGTTCGAATCATGGGCACTGCGAAGCCGTCCAGAAAGAAACAGCGCAAGTACAACAAGCGCTCTAATATTCAACTGAAAAAATACACAAAGGGCGAGGCTGTTCGATTCATAACCCGATCAGCTGCAATGCGTAAACTTCAAGTCTCTCTGAGAAGTTTCCGTCGGCTCTGTATTCTAAAGGGAATTTATCCAGTTCAACCACAAAACATTAAACAAGCCAATAAAGGAAACCCGACTAAGACTACATTTTATTTGCTGAAAGATGTCAAATTTTTGCAAAATGAACCACTGTTGCAGAAGTTTCACGAGCAGAGAATATTCGTAAAACGAATCAAGAAAGCAGTGGGTCGTCGCGAATATTCACAAGCAGAAGAGCTAGATGATAGGTTCCCTAAAGTAAAGTTGGACCATTTAGTGTTTGAAAGATACCCATCCTTCGAAATGGCGCTCAATGATGCGGATGACGCGTTATGTGCAATCTTTTTGTTCGCAACGTACCCGCCGAATGAAACGATATCGGCAAAATTAGTTCACATGTGTCAACGACTTGCAGCTGAGTTCTTTAATTACGTCATATATTCACGTAGTTTGAGAAAAGTTTTCATATCGATTAAGGGGTATTACTACGAGGCAGAAATATTCGGCCAGAAGATTGTATGGCTACAACCACATCAGTTTACGCAACCAGTGCCTCGACTCGTAGATTTCAGAGTAATGAGGACCTTTCTAGATTTCTACGTGTACCTTGTCGGTTTTATTAACTTCAGACTGTTCAACAGTATTAATTTGGTCTACCCGCCTAAATTGACGAAATCTGATAAAGAGTTAGAGACTGAATACTTGATTGCATTCAACTCGCATTTGTGCAAGCTAGCCGAAGTCCAAAATACAGAAGAAGTTGAATTGGATTTGTTTGAAGATACAAATGAAGCTATTAAACAGCAAAATGAGGAAATCGAAGAATTGAACACGTTCAAAAAGTTATTTGAAGGTTGCAAGTTTTTCATTTCACGTGAGGTACCTCGTGAGCAGTTTGCGTTTGTGATTCGCAGTTTCGGAGGCGAAGTTTCTTGGAGCGAAACCCAAGGTCTGGGATCTACATTCCCAGAATCGGATACAAAAATTACTCATCAGATAGTTGACAGAAATACCGTTTCTGATAGAAAACTGACCCGGTTTTATATCCAGCCTCAGTGGGTATTTGACTGCGTGAATGCGCGTAGTTTGATTCCGATGGAACCGTACTTCCCGGGAAAGACTCTCCCGCCCCATGTTTCGCCTTTCACTGCGGATGCCAGTAGAAATGCGACATCGTATATCCCGGTAGAGAGCCAGTTGTTGGCGCGCAAGAAGGCAGCGGAGGATTTGAAAAATCCAGATAATGCGAAAGAAGAAAGTTCAGATGAGGGCGTAAGTTCAGAAGATGAAGACGATGAAAATGAAGTTCCGACTAAACATGGCAAGAAAGAGGTCAAAAGTGCCTCTAGTGCTATCAAAAAGAAACCGGTAACTCCTGGAAAGAAGGTAGAAAATAAAAAGGCCGATTTCCCGGAAACGCATGACGAGGAGTTGTTGGCGAAGCAGCTTCCAAAAAGAAGGCGATACTATTACAATGCTAGCAAGCGGCGTGAGCAGTCGATAGTTGACAAGGCCGACAATTTAGAAAAGAAAAGAAAAATTGTTGATGATGTAAAACGTCTGAGCCGAAAAGCTGCTGCTAGCAAATAAAATATCGTCTGAAAAAGTTTTCGCGACAACGCTTTGAGAAGATAAGTTTCCAGTGAAAAGTGTTCTTAAATAGATCAGAAAATTAGTTCACTTCGAAAAGTTTCTGCTATAAATGCCATAAAATAGGTTAAATATAGCACTTGTCTATTTTCTATAGAGCTAGGTTAAATAGACGCAGATTTAGAGGGTTTATCATGAGCCAGTAGTCATTTCTTGTTAGATTTCAGGTCAATGTCTGGTCAATGGTTCTCCTTGACCATGTTTTCCAGGGTCCTTTTACTCATATCAATAGTGACGTCACCACTCTTTTCACACCCTTGTGAGCCAGACACAGACGATGACTCATTCGTGCACCCGGAAGACCAGTATGCCATGCTGGCTCCCGAGTGCTGCCAGTACCTCTCGGGTCTGTCTGAGACACTGAGTGCTTTCGTGGCTTGTACAGTGTGGAATGCCAAACCATTCCGAGTATGCCAAAAGTGCCTGAATGAATATCAGAATGTCACGAAGGCGTCAGACGCTCTTTATGACGTAAGAGGGGCCTTTGATTGGTTTAAATTTATAAGCTAGAATTTAAAGCGCAAAATCATCTTCCTTTTGATATATTTCTTTCTAGAACAAGAGCTTATCTATGGATTTCTTGGCGGTGGTAATCTATCTTTTTTCTAAAGTAAGGCGGCAAAAGTGATCAACAATAAGAGAGACCACAGAGTTGTCACTTTTTTAAATCCTTGTCTAGCCTAAAGTTTCATCTGTTTTTCTGTGAAAAATATGATAAATTAATATGATTAGTGCTTTGGGGAGTTGAGGCATATTAGATGCTTCATGATTTTAAATGTTACGATTAGGACACCACAAACTACAACGGATCGACATGTTCAGACCAGCTTCTTTCGTCAGACAAGGAAGCTGTCATCTACAAAGTATTGACAGACTCTCAGAAGATATGGTCCATCTCTCAGTGTGACAAGTGCTACGACACTTCAACGAAAGGGTCCACCGTGATGTCAAATGACACCCAACACTTTTTTCATTTGACAAAGTTGGTCTTCAACTGCTTCTCGCTTGAAGAAGTAAGTTCTCTCAATAGTATGTCTTCATATGAGGTAATAATTTAAGTCTTTAGCTAGTTTTAACGCAGAATCGTGTTATAACCGAGTTCATTGCCTAGTTTTTTCTAGAATATTTAAAATCTGCCAACTCTATTAGATTAGTCTTAGCTCTGAAAATTACTGTTAAGTTGACCTTCGCACGTTTTCTTGGAAGTTTAAATTATATCGATTCGAATCGAATTTTTTTCTGTGTTATTCAGGCGTATTCTATGGGCAGAAAAAAAATTGATGGATGAGTTGAACCCACCTGATACAAAAAGTTTATTGCTGTCAAGATTTTGCCGTGTAATAGGATATCGTCTGAAAGCTCCTGAAACTCTAGAGCTGAATATGTTGTTAGCACTAATATACTTTTTTAACGTGCTGTGCCTGAATCATAAAAAAGTAAATATTTGCAACCCGAAGGGACTTTTGACTAGCCCTGGGATAATTTGCTTGTTTTTCGAAAGATTGCAGCTGGGAAAATAAATAGGCAATTGTCTAGTTGGTAAGGTTATTAGTTGAAGTTATCTGGGATGAGTTTGGCTGCTTTTAACTGGGCACGGCTTTAAAGTATTGACTGTTTAGCAAGAGGCCGGGAATGTGTGTAAGCAGTGCAAGCAGTTCTACCGCAACCTCAACACCTTCTACGCCTCACTGGGCAAGACTTCCTCCGACATATGCATGGACATAGTCGAATCCGTAAGTGCATTCCTTTTTATTACCTACTGATATGTCAATTGTAATTTGTATCCGTTGAAGTAAATGTTAAAGTAGGACAGAATAAAGTTTTTGTTTGCAATTTGTCAGCTTAAATACTTCAGGTGGTGATTTTTGAAATAAACAAATTGATATAGTTCTGTTGCTATAATTATTTTTCCAATAGTGGCCTCAATTTATGATCCACCTTTTGAAATATGATGATCCGCTTTTAAACTTATCAGAAATAGTTTACGAAATGCAAATTTTTTTCTCCATTAGTTACGTGATATTCACTGGTAAAAATCTTAAATACCATTAATTCACCAGGGAACGTTTTTGAGGGGAAATGAGAGTAAGGTTTGTTTTGGTTGCAGATGAATAATACAAGACAGGCGTGGAGTAGCACCTTCAACTGTCTGGTTCAGTATGAGGACACATTGGCAGTGGCCTTCACCCTCGCCTGCATCTGTCTGCTGCCCATCTTCCTCTACGGGGGCACTGCCATCCTGGAGACCAAGTACCAGAACGAAGTTTTGAAACGTGAGTTCAAGGCTACTTTTTAAAATTCCATTGAGCGCTATTTAAATCGATAAATGATCTTGGAAATCGACCATGACCGGACCTTTGCGTCCCAGACAATGGTATTCCATACAAAACTGTCCAAAAGGCTAAAAACTGGGCAGAAAAAGGTGCCTAAAAAGGTGTCGCGTAAGTTCCAAAATTTATTATCGGTCCCATAAGACCCAAAATAAATAATCAGTCTCATAAGTTTCAAAATAAATAATCAGTCCCTTAAGTCCCAAAACAAGTTTTTTATACATTTTATTGCACAAATCTGCCATAGTGAGCTAACAGTTTTTAATATCACGATTTCCGAGGCTCAGAGAGTTTTTAGCGCCTGCACTTTTTCATTGAAAAGTCGCAATTTTGGGTTTTGTTTAGGCACTGGATGTCCGATACGAATAAGTTCTAGCTGATTGTCGACAATTTTTTCTTGTTGTTTCAAAAATTGGATTGCCAGACACAAACTTGGCGAATTTCGTTGAATTTTTCGATTCCATACACTATTCCAGCCTGCGCAAAAATTTGTAGTCCTTAGTCGTGCTGGCCTATGCATAACATTCCACATTTTTGGGGCAAAAGTCAAAATCCAGGTTTTGTGAAAATATCGAAAGAATTTTGTCATTTCTGGGTACTGCGAAATTTTTTGTTTAACATCAGGTTCCTTAAACAGCTGGATAAACATGGGCAAACTCTGCTCTTCTGGCAAATATGACGAAGCCATAAGCATTCTTACAATTTTTTTCAGCCCAGGGTCTTGAATTTTTAAACCAAGTTCAGTCAAATGCCTAAATATTGAGTAAAATGGAAATAGCATACCTGATCCTCGGTTCTATGCTGATAGAATTAAATCTGATTCCAGTGCTGATATTACCCCCCTTTCATAGTCTGTCATGATTTGCGGGGGCACCCATTTGTGCCCAGTGAGACGATGAATTTTTTTGGAAATCATTTTGAAAATTTTTCGGTACTGGCAAACCGATTTTCCGCTAAGAAGGCCAAAAACTATTGAAAGACAACGTTCTTCATACAGACCGTGTAGCACATACAATTGTTCAAACGGTTGGGGGCACGCCTTAAAAGTTCCATCGGCAAATATGGCCTCTGAGTTGAACAATAATGTCAAGTTTTTATCGGGTGCGAAGATCGTAGCACCGCAATCTACGTCGTTAGCCAGTAAGAACCGCTCTTTTTAAGAGTTAGGCGCCATTTTCCGGTCATAGAAACTTCTGACATATTTGTTGATGTTGGAGGCACTTTTTTGGCCCGAGCTCGATAAAGACTTGATTTAATCGATCCGAAGTCGGGTACGACGGACGTACTCTGCTTGAGGGCATTGTCGTATATATTTCTTAAGAGGTTTGTCGGATCGCGTTTGGTATCTCTCTTAAATTTTTGCCGAAAGTTTTCTATAGATATATATATATATATATATATATCAGTTTTGTCATCGTTATGATTGTGTTCTCCAGGAAATTTTTTGATCTCTTTGAAATTTGTCGATGTAACCATAGGAACCAAAGCATTTCAAGTAAATGGTTTTCGAAGTTTTAGAACTGATATTATTTCGATAATTTTCAAATATTATGATTTTACCTCTTTTGAGAATATTAACTGAATTTGGTTTTCCATTTGATTTTATGATGTGGTTAATTATTCCCATAGGTTCCAATATCCATAGGTTCCAAGATAAAAAATCAGTCGCATAAGTTTCAAAATTTATCTTCTTGAATTCTGATTGGTTGAAATTTGAGCCAACGAATTAATGGATTGATTGTTTACTGTTCAACCAGCATAAACTCGAGCTGCAGAATAGTGACCACCGCAGCCGCGCCAACGTGTTGCGAGCTTGCCACTAAAGGGAAGGACGAAATTAAGAGCCGTTTATCGCCGCGAAGCAGCGACGCGCGCCCACCGGTGACCTTAAACCGAGACTCGGCTAATTAGTCCTTTGACCAATTGAAAAGATTTGGAATTTATGCGATTGCTTATTTATTTTGGAACTTATGGAACTGATTTTTCATTTTGTAACCTATGAATATGAATACGCACCTATGATGTAAATAACCTATATTAATTACATTTGGTAACAATATAAGTTTGACCTTTTTGGTTTATAATGTAAGCTGTACGTCGAGTTTAATGCATACTTAATTATTAAGACAAAAAAAATACGTCCCCAATCGGGAGTCGATCCGACGGCCTACCGCCTTTTGAGCGTATATGCTTCCTCCAAACTAACTCTCCATGTTGGAACTTGTGCGACTGGCTATTTATTTTGGGACTTATGCGACCGATTTTTTATTTTGGGAGCTATGAACATTGGGACTTCACCGCAGACAAAACATCCTGTCATTTGTGGTCCAAAAATGTTAAGCTTCAAATGGTGGTGTTTTTGTCAGCCCATGAAGATATCACTTGGTGGATATGCCTCGGCAATCAAAGATAACCTAAATTTGAATAAAATTACAGGATCAAACTGTGACAGTTTTGTCTCGGACAGAAATGGCTTGGAACATTTCATTTTTTTGGAATATTTTGTCTGGGACACAATTGTCCGTGACACAAACTTCAATGAAACAAATCGATATTAAGACTGAGTCTTTTTATTCAAGTATTTAATGAGACAGCGGGATACCCTCGCTGCTCAATTCTTGAATAAACATTTTCTTTAAGCATACTCAATATATTTGACTAAGTGTCAATTCACGCAGTGAACACACTGATATAGAATGATGATTTTTTTCAGGAAGCCCTAAGATGTGTTCACGCTCAAATATGATTTTGAGCGGGTTGACTTCTGGTTTTTTTAGGTTCAATTGATCTCCTTTAAAAAGAAAGCAAAGTCTACTATCGGACAGCAAAAGTGTAAAGGTCATGAAAAACATGAATGACTTCTAGTTTCAAAATTAACTTATATTTTCTGAATGTAACAACGTTATGAAAAAAAATTTCTGCAAAATTGGTAAGCTGAACAATGTTCAAAGATTTTCAATCAACTTCGGTTTCCTTGTTCTTTTAGTTTTTTCTGTCTGTTGACTATTTTTGTTTGATAAACTACCTCGATTTGTGTTGCTACCCCTGATTCAGTCTCGAAATCAGCGTATTGACATATTATGGTGTTTTATACAATCTGACTATCGTATATTTCGACTTTCGTTAGAAACGCATTATGGCACATCAAAACCCTAACTCACTTACAGCAATTCGTCAACTATTTTCAGATTGTTTTTGCTGTTCGATTAAAACTTGATTGGATTTTATAAAACACTCTGTTGGACTTGAACCGTCCCTAATATTAATCAACTTAGGCAGTACGCAATGGAAAAATTCTTTTCTAACAAAAATTATTTGCCTAATATGGGTTTCGTATAATCGTATTTATTATTAAGAGTAATGAACGCAGTGAGTACTCTTTTATAGGTGTTGATGATTTTTTTCAGGAAAAGCATTAAAGTTTGTTCTCGCTCAATTTTGATTTTTCGCGGTTTTCTGTGCATTTCCATTGATTCACATTATGTCGAAACAGAGTGTGACAGATTAGTTATACTACTGCTGAATGTTTTTTTTTATGAGACGGGTATAATAGTGAGTTTGTAGTAGAGAAATGTTCCTCTAAAATTTGTATTAGTGTAAACGATTAATTCCATGGGCCTAAAGCCAAATGATTCATTTTATGAGCTTCATTTTGTTTCAGCCAAATGATTTTGAGCTTCAGCCAAATGATTCATTTTATTCAAAGCTAAAACGTGTCTCAAGTCATCATCAGTCAATTATGCCTCAAGATAACTTACTATTTGAATTCATGATTCCAGGGAAGAGTAATATGTACGAGGAGATAGGCGGGCACTCTCATGGCTCGTCGGACAACCAAGCCTACTCGCCCTCCTACGAATACATGGACTCGGCCTACTCTGAGGAGAACCCCCACGTGTTACCCGTGAACACAATACCACCTCTGGACCGTCCCGGACCATCTCGTGGTATGCTGGACGACTCCAGTGGGAATACGAGGTCTCTAATTGATATCAACGAACAGTCATCATTAAATCAGACCACTTAGAGATACGATGGCAGTTGGGATTCAGTTATCTATTCCTAATCTATTTTTCTTCTAAATCCGCCCATCTTTTTTTTATTTAGCGCTGAAAGTCTGAATAAGTTTTTTCATTCATCAATTAAAAAACAAAAGTGCGAACTGTGAAAAAAATCAACAGATGTATTTAATAGTTTATTGTATTGAATGGTTGGCGTATTTTCAAGAAGGGAACAAAATATTGCTCCAATATCATAACTTATTCTCTTGTTGAGATAATTTTTCTGCCGTTTATTTTCTGGATTTAAACGTATTTTTTCCGCTGTCATGCGATTTATGTTATTGACTATTGTAGTTACTTAGGTTGAGTACACATGTTAGCTCAAACTTCTTGCAGGTTTTTCATCTGAGTTTATAAAAGAAGAGGTGCTATATTTTCAAATGAAATTTTATACTATCTCCAAATTTATTGTTACCTAAATGCTGTTTTACGAGTCAGAGAGATTGTCCTTTTTCCTTAGGTTTATGAGAATTTAAGTGTTTGCAACGTTTTTGTTGACATCGAATCTTGACAAAAGCACAAAATATTCGCTTGCGTATTGTCAAAGCTATTGATTGCTAAGGCGCAGGTCCAAACTGTTGTGCTGACTTACGGTGAGACAAAAAGTATTCCCACAAGAGGCTTGTTGTAAGGTCTATGAGGTATGCTGCTCCATCAGATAGTCGTGATATTGTTTCGAGAACTAAATTTATAGGAATCATGCGCAAGTGAATTATGTCTTGTGAAAACAACCATCTGTGAAATATCGATTTAGGTTGGGTGCTTTTCGTTCGTTTTCTTCTTCAGGGAAGTTTTCATGCTCAAATTGATATTTTTTGCGGTTTGATTTTTTAAATTTTTGAATTGTTTTCAAGTTACTTCAAACTCAATAGCCAAATTGCGCTTTTCAGTATTTCAAGTGCAAATGACGAGAAGAAAGGTGATTGGCATTTGATTTCAAAAATTGATGTTGTTTTTCAGAATCGCCAGCGGAATAAAATAAATGCATTGATCTACTTTTATCTTATGTTTTCTATTTTTTATTTGAAACTCAGAATTGAAAAATGTCACGACAATAAAAAACATTTAATTCAAAGACGTTTTGCAATTGTATTTTTGTTTTGTTAATAGATTTTTGTCGGGTGTTAAGTGAGAGTTGAATGTAGTTTTTCAGAAAAATTTGATAGCTCTCAATTCATTTTAGTTTGCTGTAAGGAAGGCAATTGCATTCCATTTACAAAATTGGAAGTGGGGCGAAACACGTGAAGGACTTGAAGGTTGAAAAGTGGGTTTCAATTTTTCGTTGCAATTTAAAGATTTTCTATTATTCATTTTGAGTTTCAAAAGTTTCAGACTTCGAGTTTCAATATTTTTTAAGCTGGATTTTGGCGACTCAGCAGACATCTGCCCGAGTTTTTTCGTCTTGGTTAACGCGTTGTAAGTTTTGTGTTGATATTAACTCATTGCCAGAATTTGTTTTGCGATTGTCTTTTCCTGGAAATGAACTTCGCTCAATCAAATGTATAAAGGATTTGTTGTATCTCATTTTTGTTTTAATTTTTTCATACTATTTTTTGACTACATGGCTTCGCGTCTGTGTTGTAAACTTTTAATTAATTTTCGATACTTCCAGATTTGGTCAGAACCCAATTGAATTCTGTTCTTTCGGTTAGCCCGGGTAATATATAGGTCGCTATTTTGTGTCAGAATTACCGGAAGATCTTAATAATAGAAGTGCTGAAAGGTCATGGCACAGATTGTTCTTGCGCTGTGATCAAGTGTCGTTGTTATTGGTGTTATTGCAAGTGTTGTTCATTGTAGTTTCAGAGGGACTCAAAAGTTCATTTTTTCAGAAAATCATTTTTTTCGGCTTCGTAAGTTTTCTTTCGTTTTTAATTTAATATTCATAGGCTTTGCTTGACCTGTTTCTTTAGACTGAACTTTAATCGAGACATAAAAGAATTTGGTAGGCCCGTTTTTTTCAACATTAAAAAAATTTCGATAATGAAAACCACTTTTAAGTTTTTAAGTTTGTGTTGTATCACAGATTGTTCGGCATGGTTACCGCGTTGTAAGTTTTGTTTTGATATTAATTCAACGATTTTTTTGGATTGGCTCAGTGGCCTTATTTCTCATCTTTTATGAGGAAATTGGGTTTTTGTCATGTGTGTTTCAGGAGGGGGAAAGGGCGTTGAAATTTATAATTTGCAGAGCCTTATAGCTCCAAGTTTTTTATTACATTTTTTTTGTTTTCCTCGGGCGTTTACTTAACTGCTGTTGATGTAGTTACCGTTCAATAAATGTTTGTGAATACTAGTTTAACACGGGTGGTTGTGTTGCTGGACGTGTTTTCCTCAAATTAAACTTATTCATGAAAAAAAATTTAATGACAATATTTATTTTTTGAGGTAGTTTTCATTTTAGAGGTGGAAGTGGTTCTCATTTTTTTTCTGCTAGCTTGCATCGTTAAGTTTGTTTGATATCGCAAATGGCGCGAAACTGGGATTTGCTTCTGTCTTGAAATACCTTTTGCCTTTTTTGGCTCGTGTTTGCGAAGAGTAGTTTCGTTTCTGTTTTAAATTTTTCTATTCTGATGACAGAACGGAAGAAAGTCTACTGACGGGCGAGTTCATTACAAATTTAACGAGCTTTCGCTTTAATACTTCGCGGAGAAAAAATGATTCTACAAAGTTATCACCCGATTTGCTTTAGTGTCTTGTTTTCCAATCTATGGAAAAGACAGAATTGAAACAGAACGAATGTGAGTGGAAGATAAATTCTTCTTTATAAGGGCATTCAAGTTTGAATGCCTAGAGAATCTCCCTGCACTTTTGAGGCATCAAAGGCCATCCTGTTAAAGCGAATCGCTGAGAGAAAGAAGGGAATGACCATCAAGTATTTCAGCTGGGTCAGTGGCGCGCAGCGTATTTGTTTTGGAATTTGACGTCAGCTGATCAATTGGAATCCCGATCAAATACCTATTTTTTCTTGCTTTTTTACTGGTAGTTCAATTTTGTCGAAGAAATCAAAAAAATTTTTTTGTAATAATTGTAACGGTTTGTGGTAATGTAAGGTGACCGCGGTTGGAATATTCTGTGTTAAGTCCGCAGGCACAATCTTACTTGTTTATTTAAAATTTTGATCAAATTATTTAGTTTTGATGGGAAACAAGACGAAAAATTTACATTTTTTCAGTTTGAGAATGAAACTGAGCAGTAGAAATAAATCTAAGGGAGCCCAGTTGCCACAGACAGTGCATAACAGTAGTGGTGGTACTTTTCCGGCAGGCCCAACTCCCATGCAGACCAACTACGATACTTCGTCATCAGGTATGAAGATTGTTCAATAATAGGTGCTCTTTGCACTTACTAAACGTCAACGAACTTAGTGAAGATACTGCTGATATGCTTCGAGAATACCATTTTCTCTTTTTTGAGGAAGTTTTAAAAACTGTTCACGCTGAAATTTGATTTTTGGTGGTTTGACTTGATTTTTCCCCAGTTCAGCGCATTTCCTTTCTGCTGAACTTTTTAAAAGGAAGGCAAGTTTCACTATCGAACTGCAAAAATATAGGTCAAGAAATTCGGAAGACAAACAAAAATTACCTATAGATCGAGTTTCCTCAAATTGGGTCAGTTTTATCAAAAAAAAATCAACCATAAGTTGTTCTTGAAGTTTCGGCTCTTTTTCAGTTCCCCCCTACCAAATTCAAATTTGAAAAGCTTATTTAACGTTGTCATAATGCAATGAAATTTGGCGTGGTGAACAAATCGACAACTGTGAACAGATTTGTTCTTCATACTTCACAGTATAACATCACGCTTTTAGCCGTAATAACACGTAGAACAAACATAAAACTCGGTATTTTGAAAGGGGGGAACTGGAAAAGAGCCGAAGTTTCGAACATCTTTAAGGGCGTTTATTTTTTTTAAATTTGAAAGCGAGTTGTTTTTCTTGGGCTCGTTGACACTTTTCCAAGGTTATAAAAAACATGTCAATAACAGTTTTTGGTTGGAAGTTACTGCGAAAAAATACGTTTTTTCGGCCTGCGTTACCTTTTACAAAAATTTCCTTTTCGATGATGAAAACAGGTTATATAAAAATGCAGGAATTTGGTTTCTTTTAATTTTTTTTGAGTTGCTTTGAAAAAATTACTAAGTAATATACCGATTACCCAAAAAAATGGTAACAATCGAAAGACTGCGCACTCCCCTGTATGCATAACTATTCACCTAGTCTCTTTTTTTGCCTTAATCTATTTTCTACAATCTTCGAAAAAGTCAGTGGGGGTAATACTTGACCCATAATTTTTGCATATTCTCGAAAACTAAACTACAAAATTTGAGATTTTGGGTTCAATTAACAGAACAGATTATAGGAAGCAATCATGCATGAGCGACTCGCCAAAATTTTTCTTCACAAAAATTTATGGTACTCGAGAAACTTTTTGACCATTTTTTTGAAACTTTTTGACTTTTCTCGAAATCTTTCCTCCGAAATATGAGACTTTGGGTGCAATCTAATGAACAAAATGCGAGAATTTTTCTCACCGAAGCAGAGGTTTTTAATTCTTGCTAGAAAAAAAGTTACTTCCTTGGGAAACTTCTGAAATGTTCTCTGCTTTTTGCTATTTTCGTTTTTTTTTTCAAGTTCTCGAAAACTACCCTGCAAAATCTGAGATATAGAGTTCAATCGAAAAACAATGCATGGGAATCGTCCTTCCATAAGTTGCTCCGGGGTTACGGGTTAAATCGAAAAAAACAGGTTGTGGGAATATTCCCTGCAGTAGCAGCCACGCCTTAATTTTTGTAGGGATTTATCAACTTCGGAAAAACCAAAATTCTGAGTTTCATGGTTCAATTGAAAGAACATGGTGCAAAACTCTTCTCTGCATAAATGGTTACAATCCTGTTTTTTGTAGAAAAGGCTAGGGAAAAATCGATTGTTCGAATTTTTTTTACATTTAAGGATGTTTTCCATTTTTCTTCAAAATTACCTTGCCAAATTTGATATTGAACTGGATTGAATATTTGATTTGGTTAAGTCCAAATTTTGAAAGTTACACATTTCATCTCTCATCAGTACAATTTCTCAAAATATCAAACTGGTATCTCCAGCTTTAGCTGTGTCCCCAATGTATATTGGCGTCGAAAGCACTTTGAGAGTTGGATACCAAAAATGGATGTCGCAAAAAAGAGTGAAAGGATACCCTGGGGGTGTGGGTGAGTTCGGTACTTCTCACCTTAAAGCTCCCCTGGTTGGTGATGGTAACTTGGTGCTTCTTTACTGATTGTGGCGATACTTATCTGTAAAATGATCGCTCCATGCAGCTTTCTGCGTATTCACACTAGCGAACTTTAGTGAGCGGTAATATTATACTAGAACTATTTTTTTCTAACCTAAGTCGCAAATATTGGTGCCACTTTTGAGGCACCTTTACGGCTTTTTGAAGGCTTGTGCTTTGACATTCGAATAGTTATTAGTTAACACACTTGGTGATACATTGTAAATTCATCGAATGAACCGGAAAAAGCTCTTTGTTTCAAATAATATAACAATAATAAAAACTCGATTTCAGAAATTTTCCGAATAAATCTGATTTTTTGTGGTATTATCGCTAGTGTTTGCGAAGCGAAGCTTTGTCTCTGTATTATATTATAAGTAATAATTGTCCGATTTTTGGTTATCTCTAACTCATATGGTATAATTATCTTTTTGTTCCAACCTGTGAGCGAACAAGTTTAATATCGAGTAAATTTTCATTCAAAACTGAACTCTTACAAAACTTCACATTATGAGTAAGATATGCTGATAGTTCTTTTCTGTGTGCTATTCAGATTCGATAAAAGATTAAATTTTCTTGACAATAATATAATAGGTTTGTTTTCAAAATATATGATTAATGTTTTCTTTTATTAGGTTATAATTCCTCATTCGATCCAACGAGCCAGCACAGTTTTCAGCCTACACCAATTTTCAACAGCCCGCATTCTATAAATCAGCCTTCACAGCCGAACCCACAAATGAATTTCCAGTCTCCGTTCATGACGCCAACCACGCCAGCAGCCGACCCTCAAATGCAAGCCAATAATGCTTACAACCCGAACGGTGGACCAAACCAGCAGTTTATGAACCCAGTTGACCTGATGAACAACCCAGCTGTGGCTCAATTTGCAATGCAATATGGACACAATTTGGCGGATTCAGGAAGAGCAGTTTTGAATGAGAGAGTGGAGCGGTTTCTATCAATCACAAAGCTGAAGCATTACTTCGCAGTAGACACGAATTACGTGGTGAAGAAACTGAAGATATTGACGTTTCCGTTCCTGCACCAAGTAAGCAATACATGAATGGATAAGATAGTTTTGAGATTTATGTTTAAGCTGCAAGTGCTCTTAAAGTATGGCGGGAACGTATTTTTAGATTAGATGGCCTCGAAATAAATTTTTTAAGCTGTGAAAACGAAAGAGATGTTGTTTACGCTCTGGGTAATATTAATCACTGCTATGGCCAAAAATTAAATTAACAGCTGCTGCCTTAACTTTTACCTTAAATTCAAAAATTTTAGCGAATTCTATCACCTGGTAGCGGGAATGTTAAAAAAATTTGTTGGCGTTCTGTTATTTTGAGCAAACTTGTTTTTGAAAATAATGTAATTTTATTATTTTGAACTAAATGTTGTTTTTGATTTGTTTTTACAGGACTGGCAAGTGACTTTTAATCAGGACGACCCGGTGGCACCCCAGTTCGATGTGAATGTGCCTGACCTCTACATCCCCTCCATGGCTTTCGTCACATACATTCTACTCGCAGGAGTCTGCCTCGGAATCAAAAACACGTAGCACTATATCATATTATGAGCAAAATTTCTTTTCATTTTTTCAGGGGCATTCAAGAATGCTGAAAACAAAGTGTTCCAAAGTGCCAAAAATTGAAGCTTTATATATTTATAAAAGCTGCACTTGCTTCGAATAAAATTTTCGGTCAGGATAGAAAGGCCCTCATTAGTATTGCCGAAAATTTATTGTCGAGCTGGCACCGTCGCTGGACAATCGAGGATCCAATGTTCGAAAGTTTCGTAATCTTGATGGCATGTTTGTCACTTTAGATCGATAGTGGAATCCATCAGGTTTATGTACGCTGCAATTTTCAAACTGTTGCCCGATCGCAATCTCGCGAACACAGCGGCGTCTTTACGGTTCCTAACAGTTGTTTGTGTAGACTGTAGCTGTCCGTGAATGTCTAAGAGGTTCATCGGTGATCTTTCGCTGGTTGACTGCTTTTGATGGAGATTGGTTGCAATATTTTTTCCAGTCATGTTTTTTCGTTCGCAAGTTGGCCAGCGAGCTCGTTGCCAGGGATATCCATATGCCCAGCAAATTCACCAGATATCGGCATGGTTATCCAAACCGTCTGGTTTGCTGCAATTCATGGTGTTATAAGTGCTGTTGTTCTTGAGGATTTGTGTGCTGCTCCAGACAACTCAAAGCTGACCTCAACACTTCTTTCTCTTCGTACAAGGAAGTGAATTTTCCGCCCTTTGAATTCTTGGGCTCCAAATCCGTTATTCACCACCACCACCATGCCGACACCGCCAATCCTGGTCGCACCGGAGGCTGAGCCGCCCGTGCAGTTGACTCAATAGGCTCCGCTTTTTTTGATGATCTCAGCGGCGACTTCTTTCGCGTTATTGTTTCTATTGTCCTGCCAGTTTTGTGCGCACTATCAATCACCTGGTGTTCGTCAGCCATGGTTTTTTTGAAGGCTCTTGCAGGGGTTCGCTGGGAGATAAAACTGCAGGCAGTGTGTCTTCAACGCGGTTGCCGTGTTCTTCAGTTCTCCTACAGAGCTTGTCTCTGGTTGCAGCATAAGGCGTCTAGGATGGTTGCGTGGGCATTTGTAAGGCTTCTCCCGTGTCGTCACGACACAGCTCTAGACTCCTCTCTCAAGGCGAATGGCTTCCACTGGTGATGAGGAGTTTTAACCGGCGATACGTCTGAGGGTACGGTTCTGGGTTGCTAGGCAGGAGCTGCATAATCAAAAACGCTGCGTTAGATTGCCAAGTACACTGCGGATGAGACATTTCTTCCATCAGCACTCCATTTTGGCGATGCAGGCGAGCAGCTTCTCCACGTTCACGTCATCGTAGTCTCGTTCATTATCAGTGTTGAAGTCCACTTGGAGTCGCTGGAAGTTAACGAGAATAAAAATGACCACACTCTCATCGCTGAGTATCATCTTTAGATTGTCTGCAAAGATCTTTTTGAAGGATAATATCTGCAAATATTTGTTTGCAAAGATCTAAATGCTATGGATAATATATAGGCCATCCATATCGAGTGCTTGAGACGGTTTGCTATCCACAATGGATTGTTTAGTCTGTTGTGGGGGGAAAGAAGGGTTACTTGATAGAAGCAGTTTGACTATTTTGAGTCTCGTATGAATTAGCTTGTCTGAAGTGTGGGTCTAATTGTTGGTGTGCTGTTTGTTGAAAGCCTTAGCTTAATCTAGTAGGGTAATCTTGGTCTTTGAGGCGATTTGTATTGGGTGCTTGCTAATCACAGGCCTGGATCCCTGTAAGAAGCGTATCTTTTTACAGAATTTTCTGGCGCGAGTACTAGTCACAGGCCTGCAAGAATTGAAGCCATATGTTTTTTTTTGCCTTACGCTGTCTGGTTAATAATTTTTCTATTTACCTGGGATATTTGATTGCGGACGAAAAGGTAGCTGAAATGACGGCTTTGACCTGAGAGTCAATGCTTTCTCAGAGACAGGGTGGTTGAAGCGTGCAGCGGAATTATGGTGCCAGGCTGCCCTAATTACTAGGTGCCGGAGACATTCTCGCCTGCGGTGAAAGTAAAAGATGGCGCTATTTTAAAGTTCTTACTCAAAGTTCTTGGTTAAGCTTTTCCAGTCGGCTTTAAGCAAAATTATGTATGTCATGTTTGGAGTACAAAATAGCTGTTCCTTGACCGGAGTTTCAATGAGATAGGAAGGCGACCAGTTCCTATGGATATAATCGCGGACCAGAATCCAGAGAGTAAAAGTGATTATTCCGCCAGTGAAATGTCGGGAGAGGATTGTTGAGTTTCATTGTTCAAAGGTAATTTCTGGTTTAGATTTCGTCGTATAGTTGCTCAAAATTGGATTGTGTAATTTCATAACTGAAAACTTTACCATGTTGGAGTCGGCATGCCAATTTAAAAGTGCGTCAACATGCTCCAGGAGATGAACTGGGGTTGTGGAGTAACTAGGGGACGACTATATCTGGGAGGGATGCCAAAGTCACATATAGGGAGTTAAGACGAGATAAACAGAGTTTATAACTGAAATACACACTGCCTCCATTGTTACATAACAAGTATTGTTCCAGTTTTTATATGGTAGGGATTTATGAACTGCAAAGAGTAAATCACCACTTCTTCAACTCCACTCTTTATCACCACTCTTTACAGGTAATAGAATTTAGTGGGCCAAGTAGAGGTTTCCGTCTTTGTTTCCTTAGATTACTTTCTTAGAGGAGCGCGATATGGATTTGTTTTCGGCCAAAAACGCAGCAATTTTGGATGTGAAGAGTGCTCTTTGGAAAGCAAATTCTCGGTGGTGATTGCTTAAAAAGTTAAGGCCAGTAAATTTAAAATGTATCCAGCCACATACGTGGCCATAAACGCTAGCATGGGATCGCTCGATGATTAAGGCACAATGGACCATTTATGTGGACCTTGGCTGCGGTTTATGTCGGAGCGGAGTAGTAGTATAAGGATAAACAGAGGGAGGAGATTGGCTGGCTTCAGACGCTCTCTGATCAAAAACCTGAAAAATTCTGAGCTTGACGCCTTTTGCATCCTGGGGATTCAGGAGTCTGATCCACCACGTAAAAGCGGTGTCATTTGGATCCTGAAGCGGGCTAAGATTTCTTTTTTGAGACAGTCTTCTTCTCGTCAGAGACCTAAACATCTAGTGTTTTTTTTTTGCTTTGGCCTTTAAACTAGTCATTTTGTAAATAATTTTTGGCGCTCTTGAGCACTTTTTTTCTAGCTTTTTTGCACTGAACTATTTTTTTTCGTCATGTTATTTCAAATTGGAAAAAAATATGCAACCGTCAAAGTTTAATCACCTTTTGTTATGTGATATATCAGTAAATTGAGCCACGTTTTTTCCGAAACACTTTTGGCTAAATTAACCGGGTCAAAGAAGAGAAAAATTCAAAATTCGTCGAGAAGATTTTTAATCAAAGCAATATTGTTAGTGTTAGGAAATAGTTTCTACGGCTGTTTTTTAGCTTCACTCCAGAGGACCTGGGTATTCTGGGCAGCAGTGCAATGGCGTGGTATATGTTGGAGCTGTTCCTCATCTACGCTCTTACCTTCGTCCTCAACATCAGCACCTCTTTCAGGTACAAACAGCTATTCCAATGAAGAAATTATTCTGCAGTGATTGCAAAAGGGTTAAAATTTTAAGAACAACAACCTTTTTTAGGTCCTTCATCGACGTGCTTTCCTTCTGTGGATACAAGTTCTACGCCATGCTTATTCTGCTGCTGGCCAGTATGGTGGGAGGCAGTATGGCCTACTACATCGCATGGGCCTACACCAGTGTGGCTTCAGTTTACTTCCTGGCAAGTTTTTGTTTGTCCGATTTTCCTGTTTTTTTTATCGGTCCACATCTATTATGAGGTGGTTGCATAATTTGTTGTCTTGATTTTTTAAGAGAAATTTGAAAATGTTCATGCCATTTTAAAATTTCCATTTCTTTTTTCGAACTGAGAAAACTGCTCTTAATATGTTTGTTTTAAGCTGAGTAATAAAACTTTTTGCTCTATTGAATGCCTCTCTCGCTCTAATTGGACTAGAAATATATTTTTAAACCGGGTTTCTTGATACTGAGGTCACTTTTGGAAATTTTTCGCTTTCGATCGAGTCGCGATTGAATTCGATTCTATTTGATTTTTATCTGTGTTATCCGATTTAGTGTGGAAAAAAATAAAAAATACAACTCACCTGAAGACAATGTTCTTTGCCACACACCTGAAGACAAAATTCCAAGCATTTAATGCCATGTATACGAAATTTGTCGACTTTTTTCATGCCGATCAAAATGATTTTCCGACCTCTTCCAAAGCACTAAAAAGACCCTGGGTCAAATTTTCTGCGCCGTTAGCAAAATTCTGAAAAAACAGGCTGAAAATAGCGTTTTTTGGCACTTTTTGGAAAGTTTGTACCAAAAAATTGCCTTTTTTCGGCGCGCGCTCACCCCTAAAGTTTAGTATATATTGGCGCCTTTAGAAAAATTTTAAGGTCCGTCAGCCAAAAATGGATATCCCAAAATAGAACAAAGGGCGATCCTTTGAGTCGACAGGGGGTCGAGTCCTTGAGGGAAGAAGGCGTCCCCCCCCCCCCCCCTAAATCCGCCCGTCCCTGTAGACTAAATTGCGATTGCGCTTGTGTCCAAGTATCCTATCTGGTGAACTCAAAATGAGACAAGTTGTTTTTCTAAGATCAAGACCATCCGGCTGTGTATCCTGTCGAATGTGTCCAGAGACAGTTTTGTGCAGGAGAGTGCTGGCCAGAAGAGGAAGTGGTACTTCTTGCTCTACTTCGCCACCACCCAGCCACTCCTAACATACTGGCTTACAGCACACGTTGCAGTGTCATGAGAAAAGGAGGAGAGATTCAGAAGTGTAGAAATGGTGCCACGCAATCAGCAGATAAACTTGAAGCAGAATTTTTTGTTTGAAACAACTTATAAACTGTTTTCGTATTTTAAAACTTTGATAGAATGAAACTCTAATAAGTAGTCCAACCTTTTTTTTATAAATGTGTTAAATTTGGCCATCTCTCGGGTCTTTGAGTGCAGTTTTCTTTACCATTCTGCTTCAATTTTATCTGCTTTTTGTACTGGATTGAGAATGACTCTCTCGATAACTAGTGAGTCAAATGATGATGAACTATAGTTGAAGTTTTTATTGGTGCAAGTTTGTTGTTTAATGGTAGTAGTATATGAAGTACATTGAAGATAATCGATAATCTGATGCAATTCTACTTCGAATATCGTATGAAAAATTTAAATATTTTCAAGCTCAAACTAATCATTCTTGAAGGATAGGAAAATCAGAGGTTGCCTAAGTTTTTTTTTTAATCGTATGCAGGAAGTTCGAGATTTTTGAGGAACGAATTTGTGAGGTGTAAGACTTCGAAAAGTCCGACTGTTTTTGTACCATACTTAAGCAAACGAAGGGCTATGCCTCAATGGGAGTTGTACGTGATGTGAGATGGTCTCAGGAAATTGTGCAACTGAACTCACATATAATAATAATAACAAAGAATTTAGGACTAATCCAAGGGTTAGCATAAAACCCAGTGATTGGGAGGTTCAACGTTCGTGTTTCAGTTGTTAAAATTAAGTTTCTTCAAATCTCTACAGTTGTTGCAGCCACATAATATCCGCCAAGTGCATGAATCTGCTTCGTTGTAGCGGGTTTTGAAGAACTTCGTATAAACTTCCAGCAGTTTAATTTTGCATCCTGGATCAAAGATTATGTCAAATTTGAAGTAATCGTTTAAAAGGTTGGCCAGACGGCAAGCTCGAAACCAGTAATCTGATTCACACTTCTTCAGACGTATTTGTTGGCAGGCAAAATTTCGTGTTGCTTGTGTTCTTCGAGTACCGATGTCTGTGATGGTTACTTGACTACGCCAGTCTATGTCAACTTTTCCGGTTAGTATTTTGGCAAACAGTCTAATTGATACACCATCTTGATTTCAAACTGCCTTGGGGTAAATTCCTGTGTCTAAATTTCACCCTTCGCAACGTTCGGTAGATGAATTATGTTACAAAAGCAGTATACATTATTTTACACAGCGAGCTAGTCTTAAATTGCGAATCTGATTTTTTCTAACCTAGCTCGCAAATCAAAGTGCTTACTCATTTGGTGGCAGTTTTGCTGAATATCTCTGGAAATTACATAGGACCTGTTGTATCTGCTTTTTAGTGGCTAATATTTACACTGGCGAGTTTGCGAGCGTTTGTGTATTAGTACGGACCTTCTTTTTTTCAAAGCTAACTCGCAATTGAAAGTGTTCTTTGAAAGTGTTCACTTAAATGGAATTTTCACTGTATCATTGTTCTCTGTACACTGTAGAATAGCATCTGTTATCTGCTTTCTTTGTGGCTAGTGTTTAACAATTACGCGTCCGTGGTTAGTGCCTGAGATTCATAATTTCTAGATCGCAGAAGGTCGTAGGTTCGAATTCGAGGCGTCGACGAATTTTTACTAATTCGAGGCTTATTTCTACTTTTCCTATTGCACTTTATAGAGCTACTATTTTCGTGTTCTCGCTAGTGTTTGCGAAGTGCAGCTGCGTCTCTGTGTTTGCGATTGTCAGGCGACCATGGCGAAAAGGCGAGGAACTGTGACTGTTAACTGGTTGGGGGTTAGATCGCATTTGGGGGGTTCGATCGCTTGTTTTTACTTTTCCTTACCTTATTTTCTAACCTTTTTTGTTATTCAGAGGCGATGGACTTATATCAGACTCTTTTATAAGTTCAGTTCTTTTCTTTAATTAAAGGAAGGCAAACTTCACTATCAAATAGTGAAAGTGTACAGGTCATGAAAAACTTAATCGAATTCTATTTTCTAAAATAGATTTGCATGATCAGATTTCCCAGCCAAATAAAAATTTTTATCTGTTGCTCAAATCGGGTTAGTTTTATCAAAAAAGTGTCAATCATGAAATGTTCTAAAAAATCAAAGAGCCTCAAAGCCATCTAATTCGTTGGGATTTTTACAATGACTCTTTTCCAACTGTCTGTTGGCTATGTTTTGTTTTTTGCCATAATGTTTTTTTTGTTTTCAAAAACTTCAATTCTGCTGGAGTCGTCATGATTTCCCACTGATTTTCTGAATTTTCATATCCCAAGTGTTGCGTTCTTCGCTTCGTCTCTGCAAGAAAATTGATCTCAACTATCACTTTGAAAATGGAGACAAGATATAGTTACGTTAGCTTGAAAATTGGGCTTTTGGTTTCGAATTTTACCAGTTTGATCACCATGTATTATATTTGCGCTAAAAATTGTTGTGATTTCTTGTTCAATAGTAATATTTTTTCTACTATTCTCTGATTTATGTTGTCCGGTTAGTTAAGAAATTAATCAATGGCAGTATTATTCAAATAAACCGTTACTATATTTCATCTCCGAACTCAGTGGGTTCTGAATGAAAGTGATTGACCCTGAGCAGTTCTTCGGAGCTTTATACGGCTGGTGAATTATTCTTTGGTTAATTATATCATTTTCTCAACACTGTTCCTGTTGAGAAGCGATATGAATTCTTACAAGATACGAGTGTTTTCAGAAAAAAATTATGACATAGCTGGAAAGATCAAATAAAATGGAGCTATTATTTTTACCATTACGACTAGCTCTTCTGAGTTCGGGCGCTCTTGTTCTTGGCTATCATTCTCGGGCAAGAGGGTCTCAGAGGTCGACGAAAAATGATCAGATAAATAAACGACGATTCATATCTGCCTTTCCATCTGATTCTAACATACAGACATGCACATTAGTTCAGTGGAACATCAGAAAATGCTCATCAGTCGTGTTTTTCGAAAGCTGGCCAAATCTTCAATTATGCAACGTATTCATGTACCAAATGACCACATTTATGCTCTGTATTTTAGCATGTGTGCTCTACTTAATCACTAGTCTAAGCTCACTATTAGTTAGAGTCTTATTCCTCTCATTCCTGAGAATTCAATTGAAAGCCAATTTATTTTTGCTTACGATAGATGCGTCCAGTTTCAACTTTCAGATTATAAACCAGGTTATGATAATTGTTTATAGAATAAGTTTAACGTCTTTCGTCGCTTCGGCTGTTCTGCTGGTGCTACTTATTACATGACACCTTCACAATAAATTGTTCAATGTTGCCGATAGTTTCGCTTTTTGCAGTTTTTCAAATAACACAATGCCTCCCGTTTTAAGCAGTTAAATAAAGCTCGATTTTAAGTGATTCTGTAATCTCTGAAACTTTTTATAATTTAAACGAAATTGCGATGTCTACATACAGTTTAATGAATCAAATGATTGTTAGCAAATTTTTTTTTTCAGTTAAAACATAGACTAAGCCCAATGTAACCCTGAGGAGTTGCCGCGTTTTTGTCCCGACACACACGGTTTAGCTAGCATTTTTGCTTCCGCAGAATATTGATGTATTACTTGAATTGTGTGCTCGAATTTTAAATTCATTTCAATATTTGGCCGATACTGATAGCAAATACTTATTTCATTACTGAGAAAGCTGGTGACATTGTTGTTAAAGTGTCGCTTGTGCTTATTAAGATATTGAGAAGCGCTTAGCGTAGTGGTAAGACGTTCTCTACTAGAGCTTCAGATTGTGTTATCGATCATCTGCCAAGTCAATGATAATGTATGAGAGGTCGAGCTTTCACTTGACCTCTACCTTCAAAAGAGCTTCGCTCTACAAAATTACTCATTCTAAAGTGTGGGGAAATAAGAAAAATGGGCTATGCTTAGACGGACTGGATAGTCTTTAATAGATCCTCTGCGAATCGCAGAAACCACAATGTGCAAGTGTCAATTATGTTTAGATGTGAAGAAGTCAAACTACACGCTTTGGGTGGATTTTCATTCAGACCAATTTCCAAAAGAACTCTAGCTGAGTTGGGATTGATCACTGGAACTTTGTGTTCCCGCCCCGAAAGGCGTTTTCTAAATTGCTCATTTAATACTTTGATGCCGACGGTGTAACACGAGTTCTTAATGCATGGCGAATCATCCCACTCTGAAATAAATTGTTCCATTAATTCCATGCACGACACCAACTTAAACACTTAAAATATCTTGTCCAATTTTGTCAATCCCTCATTCACCAAAAACTTTTGAAGACGGTTCACGTCAGTGGGAACTTCGCCTTGACATCCTGATATGCAGCTTCGTTGTTCTGATTTTCGAAGCAATATGGGGTACAAGCATGATAATCGTGTCCCTAAAAATTAAACAAGTCCTTGAAGAAATTTCTTTTCTGCATAAAAATTCTTTATATGAGAAGCTCAAATGAAAATAAAATTCACCTGTGGTCACTTTTTTTACACTACAGCATGGTAGGGGAGATTAAAATGAAATTTAATCAATTTTTCTAACAAAATAGTTTTAATTGACCTTCAAGTGCAGTCGGGCCATTCATGGCTGTGCCCTGATGTACGATCAGTTCTGTTTTTTTAACCCTTGCGTTAGGCAAGGGTATTGCAATCGGGTATTAGTCTTTTTTCCCGGAAATAACTAGGCACAATGGTCAAATGTGTAAGAATAGTAAACTTCAGACATGCTCAATTTCAGACATACTCATTTTCATGAAAATTCAAATAGAGTTACCTTTATTTAGGTAGTAAGTAGGTTTAGTCTGTTTCCTGTGTCAGTTTGTTTTCAAATAATTTTTTCGAAAAAAAGTTGATTTTTTCGGATTCGTGGTTTTCGGCCTAGTTTCCATCGGTTTATTTCCACTTTTTTTATTTTGTTATGTTTGTACTGTTTTTTTTCGGATTTTTTTGTCGAGCGTGGGTCTTATTTTACATTTGCGTTTTTTTTTTACTCCAGTTGTAAGTTTGCAACTTGTCATTTACCAAGTTTGATTTTAAATTGTTTTTATATGGTTTTATTCGATTAAACGGTTTCATCGTATATTTTGTGGCATATGAACTTTTTATCGTTGTTTCGAGGGCAATTTTCCTGTTTGACAAAATCAGGCATTATTTTTACTCTTGCGAGAGCAAGTGTCTTGAAAGCAGAACTTTTCCAGTAAACAACTTTTCTTCAACTGGCTTTTTTTATTAAACCTTCGCAACCTCCAGGTTCCTTCCCGATTGACCTGAGTTAACGCCGTCACCTTTGTACCTTACGGTCTGGAGTTGGACTCTCGGTCGGACCTTGTTTTTTTCAGTATATAAGCAATTGACAAAAAAATCGGTAAAAATTGAATTGTTGGACTTCGGTAAAAAAAATCGTTAAAAATTGAATCGTTGAACCGTTATTCTGCGTTAATTTTGTCGGCTCAGTTCCCACGTCACAAATCGTTTGTCCTGTAAGCAACTTTCAATGCAAGTGCAAGTTTGTTGTTCTTTGTAGGTCCAGGGTGGCGGACTTGTAACTTTTTATATTTTTTGAATCAAATTGTTTTTCGACTCAACGGGTGTCTGATCAAAGATTGTCGCCTTAATTGCCAAATCATTGATTTTTTTCTGGTGCTGTAGGCAACTTTCTTTGTAGTTGAAATTTTAATTGTTGTTCAAATTGTGTCAGCTCAAAGATTGTCGGCCTTATTTCCTCTTAGTAGGTTCTGTGCCGTTGCTAATTTAATTATCAAGTTTGTGGCTTGTTAGCATAGAATAAACTTCTATCGAGAAATTCGAAAATTCAATTTTTGTTAGAATTAGTTTTTTTTTCAACTTTTTATATTTCTTAGTTTTTTTAGTGTTTTTTAGCAAGTGGTGCAAAGCTCTGCTTTGCCTCTGTTCAATAATTAAATCTGGTTTGTAATATTGAGAATAACTTTTTGAGCTATCATATTAGTGTCGAATAATTAACATGTTGAAGTTACTGTATGCGCAACTGCAGCACGAACTAATGGAGCTGATTCGTCTATTTTTCTTAAAAGTTGAAATGGTCGCTTCTCTTATTAAGGGTCGATGAACGTAGCTGAGACTCTCACATAGGCCGCGATGATTTCATTCTTTGTTTTTTTTTAGCAAAAGTCTTTAAAAGCTCCCTCCATTCATTTTGTTAAACAGAAAGCAATTATCACTATCCAACAGTTCATTCTTTGTTTTTTTAGCAAAAATCTTTAATAGCTCCCTCCATTCACTTTGTTAAACAGAAAGCAAACATCACTATCCAACAGCAAAAAATGTAAAAGTCACGAAAAACGTGATCGACTTCTAATTTCGATAATAGAATTTAAATCTCAAGTTCTCAGCGAAATAAAAATTTCTACCCATTGATTCAGTTTTCTCAAATTGAGTTTACTTGATTTTTTTGTTTAAAAAGTGTCAAAATTGTTCTAGAAATGCAAAGAGCTTTAAGGCCATCTATTTTTTGGAAATTTTAAAGAGGAATTTTTTTCAAAAAAAGTCAGTAAATTGCTTTATTGTGATTGTGATTGGTTGTACCTTTTCAGCTCATTTGAAATGCCAATATATTTGCTTTCTGAACTCACGGAAATTTGCTCACTCATCGAAAGTTCAACTATACACATAAAGTCCAAATATATATATATTTCAATTTTAGTATCTGCTTCGTTTAACTTAGTAAATTTTAAAGAACTATGAAAAGCAAAATTTACAAATACATTGGAATACTTAGCGCGTCTAGATTACTAATATACTAATATGCGCGTAAAGTAACGCTGGCAGTTGTGCCTTTCGATTGTAGTTGAATCAAAAATGTTCTTTCTCTCCTTTCTGGGACTTGGGTGGAAGTTTGAAGCATTCAAATGATGCTTTCGCTTTTGTTTGCCTTGTCTGTTTCATGACTCATGCCTTTTAGTTTTGGCTCATGCAATGCCGTTTTCTGACGTTTAATTTTTGTGTTTTTGCCATCCTCGACTGAATCTAGTAAAGGTTTATTGTGCGTTTCTGGCAAAGTTAGCGCCAGTAGCCCAGCAATAAGCGCTACTGATCCAAAAATTACAAACGCAATTGGACCCCATATTTTTTCACTTAGCAAAACCGAATAAGGAGACAGAATGGCTCCAAAACGAGCAGTGAATGAGCAAAATGTCATTCCCGTGACACGAACGCTCGTCGGCATGATCTCGACTGTGTAAAGATACACAACTGCGAAACTAATCGTGATTCCAAATCTGCCTGCCAGAGCTAAAATTCGAGAGCCCAGATCGGTTTTGTAAGCCGAGGTAATTGCTATGGAAGAGCAGCATATACCTGTAAAGATTAGGGATCCAGTGAACACTTTTTTCCGCCCAAGTTTGTAAGACAGCAAAGAGGCAACAATCATCGCAGGGACTTCGAAGAACCCCATCAGAGCAGTGTTGAGATAGAGGTCTCCAGGAATCATGGATCCTCCGAGAGATATACCGTAATAAACTGCACTTATAACCAACCAACAGAATGCCAGCGTGATCAGTTGGATTGCCAATGATCGATTTTTGAAAATCTGGACAATGGCAAAGCTTTTTGCCACCTTGAATTCTGACTTTACCTTTTTCTTCTTGCTTTCTTCGTTCAGTTCATCATGATTTTGATGGCACAAATTGTAGAGTTCATTTTCCAATATCGAATCGAAGCTGACCCCGTTCGATTCAGACATTCTGGAGGCGACTTGAACTGCTCGCTTAAAGTTTCCTTTAGCGATGAGCCAGCGGAGACTTTCCGGCACGAATACGATCAGCAACACTGTCGGAATCAAGAGTGCAACTGCCACCGCAAGCTGTAAATACCTCCAATTTGGAATCGCAAAAGCCGATCCACTCAAAGCTACCATTCCAAGTCCGAAGGTTGCCTCGGATAGAAATGCGACCCAAGTGAAATAATTCGGTTTCATCATTTCACTCATCAGTGCGAAGGCGTAAATGTAAGCACAGGAAACGACCAGTCCTGTGAAGAAACGACCCACTAGGAATAACATAAGATTTGGAGTCAATCCGGACACAGCTGTAATGGCGTCTGAAGTATAACGAAGCTCGGCTTCCTGCCCAAAAATTCTCCTATATACCCCCCGAATACCATTGCAGTCGCTTTGCCGATAAACATCAAAGCGTTTCCAGTTTGACGGTAGTGGTCTCTGCCGCAAAATATCTGAAATTCCCCCGTCGCAGTCTTATTTTACATTTGCCTTTTTTTTACTCCAGTTGTAAGTTTGCAACTTGTCATTTACCAAGTTTGATTTTAAATTGTTTTTATATGGTTTTATTCGATTAAACGGTTTCATCGTATATTTTGTGGCATATGAACTTTTTATCGTTGTTTCGAGGGCAATTTTCCTGTTTGACAAAATCAGGCATTATTTTTACTCTTGCGAGAGCAAGTGTCTTGAAAGCAGAACTTTTCCAGTAAACAACTTTTCTTCAACTGGCTTTTTTATTAAACCTTCGCAACCTCCAGGTTCCTTCCCGATTGACCTGAGTTAACGCCGTCACCTTTGTACCTTACGGTCTGGAGTTGGACTCTCGGTCGGACCTTGTTTTTTTCAGTATATAAGCAATTGACAAAAAAATCGGTAAAAAATGAATTGTTGGACTTCGGTAAAAAAAAATCGTTAAAAATTGAATCGTTGAACCGTTATTTTGCTTTAATTTTGTCGGCTCAGTTCCCACGTCACAAATCGTTTGTCCTGTAAGCAACTTTCAATGCAAGTGCAAGTTTGTTGTTCTTTGTAGGTCCAGGGTGGCGGACTTGTAACTTTTTAAATTTTTTGAATCAAATTGTTTTTCGACTCAACGGGTGTCTGATCAAAGATTGTCGCCTTAATTGCCAAATCATTGATTTTTTTCTGGTGCTGTAGGCAACTTTCTTTGTAGTTGAAATTTTAATTGTTGTTCAAATTGTGTCAGCTCAAAGATTGTCGGCCTTATTTCCTCTTAGTAGGTTCTGTGCCGTTGCTAATTTAATTATCAAGTTTGTGGCTTGTTAGCATAGAATAAACTTCTATCGAGAAATTCGAAAATTCAATTTTTGTTAGAATTAGTTTTTTTTCAACTTTTTATATTTCTTAGTTTTTTTAGTGTTTTTTAGCAAGTGGTGCAAAGCTCTGCTTTGCCTCTGTTCAATAATTAAATCTGGTTTGTAATATTGAGAATAACTTTTTGAGCTATCATATTAGTGTCGAATAATTAACATGTTGAAGTTACTGTATGCGCAACTGCAGCACGAACTAATGGAGCTGATTCGTCTATTTTTCTTAAAAGTTGAAATGGTCGCTTCTCTTATTAAGGGTCGATGAACGTAGCTGAGACTCTCACATAGGCCGCGATGATTTCATTCTTTGTTTTTTTTTTTAGCAAAAGTCTTTAAAAGCTCCCTCCATTCATTTTGTTAAACAGAAAGCAATTATCACTATCCAACAGTTCATTCTTTGTTTTTTTAGCAAAAATCTTTAATAGCTCCCTCCATTCATTTTGTTAAACAGAAAGCAAACATCACTATCCAACAGCAAAAAATGTAAAAGTCACGAAAAACGTGATCGACTTCTAATTTCGATAATAGAATTTAAATCTCAAGTTCTCAGCGAAATAAAAATTTCTACCCATTGATTCAGTTTTCTCAAATTGAGTTTACTTGATTTTTTTTAAAAAAAAAGTGTCAAAATTGTTCTAGAAATGCAAAGAGCTTTAAGGCCATCTATTTTTTGGAAATTTTAAAGAGGAATTTTTTCCAAAAAAAGTCAGTATATTGCTTTATTGTGATTGTGATTGGTTGTACCTTTTCAGCTCATTTGAAATGCCAATATATTTGCTTTCTGAACTCACGGAAATTTGCTCACTTATCGAAAGTTCAACTATACACATAAAGTCCAAATATATATATATTTCAATTTTAGTATCTGCTTCATTTAACTTAGTAAATTTTAAAGAACTATGAAAAGCAAAATTTACAAATACATTGGAATACTTAGCGCGTCTAGATTACTAATATACTAATATGCGCGTAAAGTAACGCTGGCAGTTGTGCCTTTCGATTGTAGTTGAATCAAAAATGTTCTTTCTCTCCTTTCTGGGACTTGGGTGGAAGTTTGAAGCATTCAAATGATGCTTTCGCTTTTGTTTGCCTTGTCTGTTTCATGACTCATGCCTTTTAGTTTTGGCTCATGCAATGCCGTTTTCTGACGTTTAATTTTTGTGTTTTTGCCATCCTCGACTGAATCTAGTAAAGGTTTATTGTGCGTTTCTGGCAAAGTTAGCGCCAGTAGCCCAGCAATAAGCGCTACTGATCCAAAAATTACAAACGCAATTGGACCCCATATTTTTTCACTTAGCAAAACCGAATAAGGAGACAGAATGGCTCCAAAACGAGCAGTGAATGAGCAAAATGTCATTCCCGTGACACGAACGCTCGTCGGCATGATCTCGACTGTGTAAAGATACACAACTGCGAAACTAATCGTGATTCCAAATCTGCCTGCCAGAGCTAAAATTCGAGAGCCCAGATCGGTTTTGTAAGCCGAGGTAATTGCTATGGAAGAGCAGCATATACCTGTAAAGATTAGGGATCCAGTGAACACTTTTTTCCGCCCAAGTTTGTAAGACAGCAAAGAGGCAACAATCATCGCAGGGACTTCGAAGAACCCCATCAGAGCAGTGTTGAGATAGAGGTCGCCAGGAATCATGGATCCTCCGAGAGATATACCGTAATAAACTGCACTTATAACCAACCAACAGAATGCCAGCGTGATCAGTTGGATTGCCAATGATCGATTTTTGAAAATCTGGACAATGGCAAAGCTTTTTGCCACCTTGAATTCTGACTTTACCTTTTTCTTCTTGCTTTCTTCGTTCAGTTCATCATGATTTTGATGGCACAAATTGTAGAGTTCATTTTCCAATATCGAATCGAAGCTGACCCCGTTCGATTCAGACATTCTGGAGGCGACTTGAACTGCTCGCTTAAAGTTTCCTTTAGCGATGAGCCAGCGGAGACTTTCCGGCACGAATACGATCAGCAACACTGTCGGAATCAAGAGTGCAACTGCCACCGCAAGCTGTAAATACCTCCAATTTGGAATCGCAAAAGCCGACCCACTCAAAGCTACCATTCCAAGTCCGAAGGTTGCCTCGGATAGAAATGCGACCCAAGTGAAATAATTCGGTTTCATCATTTCACTCATCAGTGCGAAGGCGTAAATGTAAGCACAGGAAACGACCAGTCCTGTGAAGAAACGACCCACTAGGAATAACATAAGATTTGGAGTCAATCCGGACAAAGCTGTAATGGCAACTGTTAGCGTCTGAAATATAACGAAGCTCGGCTTCCTGCCCAAAAAGTCTCCTATATACCCCCCGAATACCATTGCAGTCGCTTTGCCGATAAACATCAAAGCGTTTCCAGTTTGACGGTAGTGGTCTCTGCCGCAGAATATCTGAAATTCCCCCGTCGCAGTTTGCTCACGCTCGTAATTGTGGAACACTTCGAAATCTTCGCACACAATAATAGGTGGTTTTGTTTCGTTATCTTCGTCTTTTTCCATCGCTTTTGGTTTAAAATCTGGATCGTACATTAAACAAGAGTCCAGATCTGACTCAGCGGATAATTGTCTTCCGAGATCCGAACTGTTTGTGTTTTCTCTCAGCCCCGTTTCAGATGTTCCAGATTTGCATTGGTAATCCACTGGTTGCAGAGAAAAAATTGAGGTAAGATAGCTACAAGGAATAGAAAATATAATCAGTTGAAAAATGAGTAATCTTGTTGTTTGGAACTTTCCAAAGCCACCCATTTTCAAAAGAAAAGCTTCGAAGCTCATGACTTAAAGTCTTCGTTTGAATTTTCAGTCTTAATTATATAGTTTTTAGATCAGTCGAATACAAGAGAATACCAGATAATACTCGTGGTTTTAATAATCGAAGCAGTTTCAACTTGTCAGCTTCATTTTAAAACGCAAAAGTTTTACGATGAGCAAATTAAGTTCAGCTCAAACTACACGAAGAAAATAGTAAGATTGAGCGGAGCGTAAAAATTATTTCTTACGATCGACCAAATTAAGTTGTACTACAACTACACCAAGCATTTAGCTAGATTGAGCGTGAAATCTTGTCGTCAGAAAAACGAAACTGCCAAAACTGAAGGCCGTAAATGCTGGAAACAGATGTACAGAACTTATTTATACTTAATGCCAAGTTGTTGGCAGCATCGGTGACTTGATCGGTCAAAAACTATAACATTTTAGGTTAATTAGATTTGAGGAAACCGTGTTTGCGTGTAACATCAGTAAAAAAATTAAATTCGACCTCAAAATGAGCTGTTTTAAGTTGATTAACTCTTCTCAGATTCGTTGACCGAAAATGTAATGCCAACAAATTGGCAATATACAGAGAGTTGCAAAAAGTTCGAACAGACAGAATTAATTAAAAAGAGCAACTGTCTAGATATCAACGGAAATTAAAAATTGAATTATACATAACGTCGAAAGTTTATAAAGCAGAGTTACATGATCTACTTAACAATCCCCCTTTCAAGGAATGGGGGAGGAGATCATTAAAAAGATAACTTGCTGCGAATTTTCGACCAATCAGAATGCAGCAAAGTTCGAATTTACATACAATGCTCTAGAGCGAATTTACTGTTTTTATTTACAGGGGCGAAGATTCTTTAGTAGATACATTGGGGGGGGGGGGGGGGGGATTGTTAAGTAGATCCGAGATTCGCTCAAAACTTATAACCACGGCGGGCAATTGAATCCAATCGTCGAAACGTTTTATAGTAAAATCTGGATGTTCATCGCAGTATTTAAAAACTAGGTTTAGCATAATCATCAGATAATCGACAATCTCGCAGTTTGAATTTCGTCTGACAAAAAATTCAAGGTTGTTCGGCTTCAGATTTTGCATGCAAAAAAGCGTCGAAAAGCACTGATTGCTCATTTTAATTAATTCTGTCTGTCCGAACTTTTCGCTAATAATTATAGAGAGTTGCAAAAAGTTGAACTGACAAAATTAATTTAAGATAGGAACTGACCTTTTTCAGATCTTTTTTTGCATGCAAAAGTTAATTTTTCACGCAGAAAGGATGTCTCAAGGTCACCTTAAATTTCAAAATTGCATTCAAAATTGCTCAAAGTTAGTAGATTGCTCTTTTCAATTATTTTTGTCTGTTCCAACTTTTTGCTACTAATTATAGAGAGTTGCAAAAAGTTCGGACAGACAGAAATAATTAAAAAGAGCAATATGCCAATTTTTAGCAATTTTTGCTTGCAAATTTAAAAATTCAGATGACATTGAGACATACTTTCTGTCCAAAAAATTCGCTTTTGCATGCAAAAATTGTCTGAAAAAGGTCATTTGCTCCTTTCAATTATTTTGTCTGTCCGAATTTTTTGCTACTAATTATATAAGTATAAAAGGAGCCATTTAGCTGTTGCATACAACAAGAATTCTGTCACCAAGACTAAGTTTACAAGTGGCATGAAACTTAATCTTGCAGGCGAAACTTATGAAAACAATCACATTGCTCCCATAATTTGAATAAATTTATCGAAAGTTATAAGTTTTTGAAATAACTGAGGCCTTCAAGCTTCAACTAAATTAAAGTAGCTAGTTGAAGCTTCGCGTTTGCCTTTTTGTCGGCTTTTTATGTATTTTCCCTGAAAACTGCTTGGCAGATATTTGTAAAATGAAACATTTTTTCAATTGTCTCAAACTTTTTTTCAATTGTCGTCTTTGAGATTCTACATTTGACTACTCTGTTCACCTTGTCTAATTGCAATCAAATTTAACTGTGCGTCAAAATCTGATACAAATATTAAATTTTATTCGGCGTTACTCTAGCATATCTTTTTTTGTGTTCACCAACCACTCTTCACATTCATTGAAATTTATTTAAATACGAGACGCCTAGAGCCTAATTTTTTTCTTGGACGCAATGTTCAAACTAACACCATGTTTTACTTTTGCCGAGCGCAATGTCAAAGTTTTTTACATTCAAGTTTTAAGAAAACCGAGAAATTTTCAGATCTCTTAGGTATTCTTAACTCCGGAATATTCTTGAATCCTGTTAGAAACAAGGTTTTCTGTACACAAGGTAAAATTGATTCCACTTCAAGGCTAAACAGTACATGTGAATTCTTTGTCCCAATTTTACCTGCACAGATTAATTTCAATCGGAAATGATCTTACTAAAAGCAGCAACCTCCTTGCTTCGAAAATGATTTTTTTTCGAACCGATTCGTTCTATAAAGTAAGTTGAAATATACTAAGTTTTCTTTTATGGGATAGGTTGCTTGGGAGAAAAACTTCAGTTCTTTGCAAGTCGGTTCTAGCTATGAAAACAAGTTGAAATATTTCAAAGTTTTATTGTTCACTAGCCTGTTCAAAAAAAGTAAAATTTTTGCATCTCGATTCAAGTTATGACTCGATTCAACAACTCGAACAGTTCTAATGTTTTATTGCTCAATAGTTTACCTGAAAAGTTACCTTTCTTGAACCGATTTGTTTTATAAAATGTTTGATAAGTTTCATTGCTTGAAAGCTTTCTGAGAAACACTAGCTTTGTGAATCGGTTCAACGTATGAATTAACATGAACATTTTATTTAAATGCCATAGTTCGAATGGCTTGCTGAGTAAGTTTTCATAGATTTTGAGAAGCGATTCACGCATTGAATTAGCCTTTAAAATTCAAGAATCCGCTCGACTATCTATTTTGCCAATCAAATGACGCTAAGTTTCAAGGCTTAAATGGCTTGCTACGAAGTTTTGAGCTTTTTGCGAATCGATTTACGGTATGACAAAGCTATAAGGATTTCAAAGTTTCATCACTTGAAATGGCTTGCTTGAAAAACACTTTTTTGTTTGGAAAACCTACTTTTTACTAAGCGATTTAAAGCATGAAAAGTTTTTTGAATCGGTTCAAATTGCAATGTTTTGACAGATTTCAAAGTTACATGGACTGAAAAAGTAGCTGGCGGCGAAAAACTTAAATTTTTGCAAACCGATTCACACTATAGAAAATAGTAGTTTTTTGCGAGATGATAGATTTATGGAGACTGGCTTGCTAGTTTTTGCTTAAAACGTTAACCACGTTAATCAAGATGGCTAGAAAGAAATATTTTTGGTGCGATCACGTTTAAAATTAATGGAGTATGTATTTCAATATCGCTTTAGCAAAAACTTTGCATTGACCTGTCGAAATTTATATAAATGAAAGCGCAATTGATCCTTAAAATTCAGTTGCATCGAAATTTGTACTTGAAACATTTGGTGTGAGAATTAATTGTAGAAAATTTATCGGCTCAAAGTGTTAGTGGTTAGTTGGCTCAAGTCTTCTCCTTTCAGTCAAAAAGGTCAGTGATTTGAGGTCCAACATGATCTGTACTAGTTGCTTAAGCGTTAGGCAACATTACCCAGTTGCGGAGTATTCAGATGGTAAGACACGCCTTATGAGTCAATGGCTTGCATGCCATATAAGGAATCATAAACTATCCGAAATTCCGGAAGATTCTGCCATATAGCTGGACCGTTGCAGGTGTCCTGTATATGTCATCAAATAAACCACCGGAACTTACATAGTCAGATGTCTCTGCGTGGCACTGCTCAAACTGGCATATAAAAATTTTACATTTCTTGGAGATCAATAGTGTTGTCTTACTTGTAGAATTTTGAGAATTTAATTTAGTTGAGAATTTAATATTGAGAGTTCCAGTTTAATACCGTATAGGCTGTCTTTGTTCTTGCGTGACTTTTACCTTCGTTTTGTTGAAATCCCGCTGACGTGAAATGGGTGAGTTAAGACCTCAAAAAATCTCTAGAGTCCCGAAGCTCTGTGTACCCAACTAATTATCATGCTTAGTGGACCATCACACCTTGAGTTATTTTAAATTGGATCCCAATTTGGGAAGCATCTTAAATATTAATAATGAACTACCTATGGACTGTCCTTAAGCAATGAAAAATAAGGCTGTTACTGAGAACGCATTGTTAGCAATTAGCAATGAACAAAACTTTCTTAGCAATTAGTATCTTCATCTCGATATGTTGAGTTTGATGTTTAATGTTACTGGTAGTCTATTATATAGTGAAATTTTTTGTGTTAATATTCGTTATTTTAAGCAGAATTTCAATTTTCTTTGATGAATTACATTCACCCCACCTATGTCCCTCAAAAAGCTTCAGGAGAAATATTGAATTCTTTTTGATCATTTTTTGTTATGGTTTGATCAAAATATAGCATTGGGTTAGTTTGCTTATTATCGTGTTTCGAATATAGACTAGAAGCAAACAGGCAAAAAATATATAATTTGAGCAAAACACTCAATCTTTTCCTTTTCATATTTTGGTTAGATGAGTTTCTGAACTTAGTTTAATTTCAAAAAGAAGTTTTTCTATTAGTATATTTGCCGAGCTCGTTTCCATTATCTACTCCAGCACTTTACTGTCAATTATATTGGACAGCATTTTCGAAGCGTGTTTTAATTAAAAGTCTGCTTTTATTTCCACCAATTTAGCTGATTTCATCCTTAAATTTTACTGGACTGCCATCCTCGTTTCTAAACGTATAATTTAGTACAATTTTTGATTATGGCCTGAAAATAAAATTATTATTATAAAATTATTATAAAATACTGGTTGTTCGTTTGTTTTCGGGTATCAAAATTGATTTGTTGATTTTAAATATGAGTCAGATTTTGTCACCAGCAGAAGGTCACCAAGGGGTCAAATGCGAAAATGAAGGTACATTTTGTCCATCACTACGTTGAGAAAATTATCCTTTTAATAAATCCCGGGAAATGGGCATTTTTTGTTCATTTGAGGTCTTTTCTGTCCTAATCTCCATCTAATAGCTGTTAAAATTATGACCGTTTATTATTTTACAATTCTGGAAAAAAGTTTCAGCTCTTCGCCTCGCAATTACTATCCAAATTGTCGCAACTCTACCAGATTTGTTTCAATTTATGTTGGAACCTATTTTTTTTCTGAATTTTTTTCATCAAAAAGTGCTCTATTTCAGAGACAGCTGCCGAGAAGGAAGTTCCTCCTCAAAATTGCTGTTTTGCAGGGTCCGCCCACCATCCCCACTCCCCCTCTGCCACACCCTTGCCCTCCTCTCCAGAGACAGCGACAACAGACTCTGCCATTCATCAGCCGGAAG